GATTTTATTGACGCTGTCCAGAAAATAGGTGCTACCTTAAATTTACACACCATATTATCATGAGGCAAATGGGATGGTTGAACGCGGGCACCGGCCCAATTAAAGATGCACTTGTTAAATTGTGCGGAGAATCTGGTGGCAAATGGCGCGAATATCTCCCCTTGGTATTATTTTCAGACAGGATTTCTACAAAACAGACAACTGGATTTACACCATATGAGCTAGTTTTTGGACATTTACCAGTATTACCAGTGGACCTTGAGATGGACACCTATTTAGGGGTTGATTGGTTAGAAATTAAAACTACATCAGAACTCTTGGAAGCACGAACCTTGCAACTAGAAAGGCGGGACAAACTTTTGAAGGAGGCCCATGAAAAGATGCTGAAATCAAGGGAGGATTCTGTAAGATACTGGGACCGAAAAATGGCAGCACGACTACGAAAACCATTGGACACAGGAGAATTTGTTTTAGTCTACAACAAAAGTTTGGAGGACCAGTGGGGGAAATTATTTGCTAATAGGTGGAATGGACCATTTAAAATCAAAAAACAATTACCCAAAGGCTCTTACATTCTTGAGGAACTAGACGGAACTGAACTCAATCGAACTTACGCAGCATCACATATTAAACGATTTTACCCTTGAGGACGGCGACTGAATGAGATTACTGAAGATGAGGAGGATCCAGAAAGCGGTAGTGAACATGAGGAGAGGCATAGTGACTCTGACCATGAAGACTCCCAGGATGGATCTGAGGACACTGATTCAAATTAATCTTGGCTATCTCCTGGGCACGAGACTAAACTGTTCAAATATTGCAAATAATTGTAATAAAATGTATTAGAAATAATATATGCGGCATGAATTCTTTCAAGTTGGGGGAGGAAATCCTTACCTTTTTCTTGACGGGGTTGATGCTGGCAAAAATGAATAAGCTGGCTCAAATTTTTGGAAGTTGGGGGAGGAAAACCTCACCACTCTTGCTTGAATTGGACCAGTAAAAACAAAAACAAACAGACATCAAAATCAAAAAAAAAAAAAAAAAAAAAAAAAAAATACACAAACCTTATAAATTTTGTAAAAGCAAATTTCTCAAGTTGGGGGAGGTAACTCTTTCCTCTTGGAAAATTGTTTGGTCTGCTTGCATTTCTTACTTTTGTTCTACCAGTTCAGCAAAAAAAAAAAAAAAAAAAAAAAAAAAAAGAGTTGCACTGTTAGAGCTCAAGTCCTTTCTTAAATATTTCTAGAGCAAGTTGATAAACTTAAAACTTTATGTTAAGTTTGTCCCTCTCAGGGGTCAAATTTAAGCCCTCACTCTCTCCTTCTTTAAGGTTGGGGACAACCTTTCTAAGTTGGGGGAGGGGGATTGCTTTGTTTGAACCCATTTTTTATTTTTATTTTTTTCTTCTTTCCCAAGTCTCAAATCTTCAAGGTTGAGAACAACCTTCAAAGATGGGGGAGGAGGGCCCTTTTTTTGTGAAGCCATTTCTTGGTATCATCATTCTTCAATTGCTTTTTTGTTTTATTTTTTATTTTGTAGCTGAAATTGATGAGGAATCATCAAAGAAGGCATCAGCCAACTTAAATCAAACAAATCGGACATGTTGAACATCGGCTAAGCAACAAAAACGATCGGCAAGCGGGCCGCTTTTTTTTCATCAAAGCATTAGTTGCAAATTCTTTGCTTTCCAGGTTTTCTGCATCTCACATTGATGAGGTATCATCAAAGATGAATCAGACACACATGGGAAGGATTGAAGATGAACAAATGACAGAAAATTAGTGGTGAAGGCTTTTTTTGCAGCTAGGATCGATGCGGGCAGCTTGAGAACAGTCTTCTCGGAGTATGCTTGAGGATATCATCTGGCGGTTTGGAATCGAATCGGACGGATCGACTATCAACAAACGATACAAACAAAAGCAACAAAGATTAGCATCTGGCTGATTGGGATTGCATCGGACGGGTCAATTAAACTAAAAACGACAAAAAGAAGCGGCCGGCATACACGTGCGATGGATCAATCATTGACTTGAACAAACACATCAAGTTCTTTCCGGCTCGGTTCGATGTTGGATGGATCGATCATCGACTAAAACAAAATAAAATCAAGTTTTTTTCAGCTCAGATCAGTCTCAGAATATGCTCGAGACAGTATCGATGGTTGATAAAAAGAAAACCGGATGGCATCAACACTTACTTACAGTTCAATGTTGGCAAGAAGTAACCGATGACGCTGGTTTTGTCTCGGATTGACGAGGATTGTAGCTAGACTCCTTCAGAACGCGGCAAGGGGCTTTGTGTTTAAGACTTGAGTCCGATTGCCGATCGGACTTGGTTGACCGGGTCTTTCCATGAGTTCTACAGTAAGGGGCTGTGCCCATACACCCGAAGGCTGTGCACCCCATAGCCGGGTAAACTTTGAACAGCCCAAAAATTGATCAGGAGCTCGCGCTGCGCCTACCGCGCACCCCTGCGACTGGATTCGAGGATACGAGGATATGACGAGGCCTGGACGGCCACACGACGACGCGACTGCGGACTGCGGACTGCGCGCGCAGCAAAAATCCGGACCCCTAAGCAAATAAAAGAAAAATAAAAAACAATAACTCCACAAAGTGAGAAACAACAAAGACCCCCCTGATGACAAAAGTGCAAAGGGGGGTACACAGGCAGAGTGTGGCCCAGTTTTTGAAAAATTGGGCAAACACAACTCCGAAAATTATTAAACTCAACTGTGAATATTTTTAGCTTAAAAGAATGGATTTAACACTGCAGCGCAGAATGCCCACGACGACGGCCTTTTGGCGGAATTGTCTGGGGACAGACAATAAGTTGGGGGAGGATGTGGGATACTTTATGGGTTCCCATCCAACAACTTCAAAAATTTTATATTTTCTTGTATATACAATAAATATTACACCAAATATGGCTCCAGGAAGGGATTCCAGGGCCAAAATTACCCTAGAGGAGCAGGCTTGGACACATGTAACCCCCCTGTGTTACATGTTACACCCTCTTTCACTCACAGGTAGGAGGGTCAAGCACCCTTACATGTTACAAGGATATCAGGTACACATTTCACCCCTCCGGGCCATGTGATCTGGCATCTGTACGTCTCAATCAAGTACAATGGAAGTATGCAGGCACAGCATACAGGTTACCTTGGCAACCTGTCATGTGATGTGTACAGCCTCAAATACAGGATGACATCATGCGGCTTACAGAACACAGCCTGCAGGTTGCTAGGTTGCATAGCAACTGTTGCACAGCTTGTCAATCCAGCAGAAACCACTCAACTTCTCAAATCACATCATGTAGGCTGTACCACCAGCCAAAACCCCTCATGTATTCTTCCATCTTGGCCAAATTCCCTCATGTGAGGCTGTACATCCAGCCAAAATCCCTCATTCCTGGCTCCCCTGGAGCCAAAATACCTCATTGTTCTCTATATAAGGAAGCCCTTCCTCCCAGTTGTAATTTCTCCCCAGCAAACTTCCTGCAGACATTTCCCCACATAACAGGCAAATCACTGCTCACTCCATAATATTATTTGTTCCCCAATATTTTGGTTTTACAATTATAACAACCCTTACATACAATTATTACAACATCTTTACACATAACAACAACCCATTTTTGCACCTGTCCACCTGTTAAACAACAGAGTATCTTTTGATACACTCCACTATCACTAATTAAAAGCTGCCAATCTAAGATTGGTGGTCTTGTTTAGTGTAGTACACAGGAAAGGCAGAGGTTACCTCACACATCCCTTTCCGAACTCAGCAAAAGGTTCTCACGAACACTTTTGAGCTTAACACCGGGAAAAGGTAAATCCTCCAATAAATTGATCAATCTTTGAACTAGTTTGGTTTGGACAAATCTCACCCCAAAGAGATCTCTAAATCCAACTTGACCATAGGAACAATTGAGGTTTGAATTTGAGAACAAACAATCCGAGATCAAGCTGCAGGTGGAAGCCAAAACCAATAATCAGAACTGACTAAAGAGACAGAAGAAGAAGCAGCAGAAGGATGAAAAAGGACTACCAAGCAATGGCAAGCAAGCAGTAGAAGAAGATTGAATGGATGGGTCTGATGCAGAGGCTGGAGCGGACCCCAAGAAGAAGCGGAAGAAATTGGGTGCCGCTCTGATTGCTGAACGGATGGTCTTCAAACAGCCAAACCAAAAATCCCTTGACAATGAAGACAAGCCCAAAAAGGCCAATCAGAAGCATTGTAGTGATGCTCCCAAAGACAATGTGGATACAGTTGAGCAGACTTCTTCATCAAAGTACCTGTCATTCAGTCAGTGGGGCTCACAATAGTAGAGGATGAGTGGTAAGAATGTCGACTCAGTCGGAATTCATATACTTTCCCGTATCCATCAGTTCCAACCACTTGTGAATGTACAGTGGGTAGACAGTAAAAAGTGGCTGCTTATCTTGGATTCCAGAGCTCCAAAAAACAGACTTGAAGTCATGAGACTTGGTCAATTGGTGCAGAATAGTTCCTTAAAATGAAAATGAAAAAATAAAAAACAAAAAACAAAGTTGCAAAATTTGTGAAGAATAAAAAATAAAATTTATTTTTCTCAAAAGCTTTGAAATTCATGGTGAGAGTGCTGAGAGAAAGGAATATTGGAATATTATAAGAATGATTATTATAAATGAAAATTTTGGAAAAATTGGTTTCCAGATGGCTTCAAACAGCTGTTTAGTGGGGCATTCACCAGCCCACATTGCAGTAAAGCACTAGAATTTACTGTTTTGGCTCCAATCTGGACAACCAACCTGGCCAAACCTTTTTTGGTTCCAATTTTTTTCATTTAGAATCTTTCTTCCCATATTCCATTCTTTCTTTCTCTCAGCACTCCCCCCCTGTCAACAAGTGATCCTGACCTGTTACGGTGTGTCAGTGACATTTCGGATATTGCATACCCATATGCAAGAACCGAAGACGAATCCAAGTTCAGCCCCTGTGACTCAAGGCTGAAAATCTTCATCGCACCCGGAACCACCATCGTCGCAACCTGTTGAATCATAAGCTCCCTCAATCCACTGCCGATCAATCCCAAACTGTCAGATTCTTGTTTCGCCTCACCACTCGTCTAGACCAAAGGAATTCAGGAGGAGCTCGGTAATAACTCAAGTGGAGGTATATCCAAGTCCCATCACTGTCTCGATTCCTTTCTCTATCTCTCTCTTCTTTTCTTTGTTCAAATTGATTGATCTTACATTTCTCTTTCAGGCTTGTTTGTTATTTTCCTTTTTCTCCTATAAAAATTTCTCGTTTCTATCAATTGAGTCGTAGCCAGAACAAGAACATCAAAAAGGTACTTAGTGATTTCACTCTTTCTTCTCATCAAGTATTCTTGCATGTTTCATTTATTTCTTCAGTTTCTTACTCAATTCTTTATTGCCTTTTTCCTTTTGTTTATTTTATTCTCTCAGTTATCTACTACTATTAGCATTTGATTATAAGCTGCAATAAAGTATTTGACCTCAAAACTTCTACATGGTAGCGAGAGTCAATACTTGGCTATAATTCATTATAAGACTAAAGTTAGAATAACAGACAGTTTAGGAAATTCATCAGCATGGGGAACTCGTCGGACAGCTCAGATGATTTCGATCGTAACAACTGGGCAGAATGGAAGACTCGGTTTGAGAACGTCATCACCGCCAAGGGCTATGAAGACATAATGAAGGACGAATGGGTCAAAGATAACAAAGACACCTCGGAATTCCGACAAATGTCAGCCTGGTGCATGAACAAGCTGTACTCATCGGTTAAGGAAGAGTTACACCCGGTCGCCAGTGCGCATAACGGCGATATCTATGGTGCGATCCACGCTCTCGGTGCTGCTTGCGGCGAGAAATCAATCATCAGTCTCTGCGATAAGCTCAACACCATAATCAATTGTACTTACTTGCCAGGTTCATCATTAGTTCAACATCTCACCAGGGGAAATTCCAGGGCACTGGCGGGCCAGTGACTGCAAGTCTCAACTAATTCACCTTGAAATATTCAAAAAAGATAATAAAAATCACTAGAAGAATCATAAATGAAAAAAGAGTTTCACAAGAAAGTCACTAGGTTTTCCTCTGAAATTATTCTCAATTTCCTGGAAAATATTCTTCACTTCCTCTGAATTTACCTGATGTTGACACAAGGTTGTTCCCCATTCTTTGCTGATTAATTAAGACATAAGAAACACCAGAATTTGATATGATTTACTGGATGTCAGCACTTATTTTAGAATGAATATTCCAGATTTGAAATCAAATTAAATTTTAATCCCAGATTTTCAGAAGGCCCCACAGGCTGTATGTCAGAGGCGGTCGCCAAGTCTGATGTCAGTCCTATTGGATTGCAAATCATCCCACATGAGCCTATGCTCTATTGAAAGGGGTTCCTCTCAACAAGCTGATTCTAATACCATCTGACTGGGAGCAGTTCCTTCCAAAAAGCTGGTATTAGATGAATGTTGCTGTAAGAGGCTCCTGCCAAAAACTGGATTATGTGCCAGTTCACCAGGATGGGCCCGCTAAACAGGTTGGCTTTAAATGATGCTTGTGTTGCAATACTCCCTCCCCAAAAGTTGGGTAATTCCACAAACTTTTGTGAGAGACTCCAGATTTCTGGGAGGAGCTCCTGGCTAGCTATTTGGGAGGAGCTCCTGGCTAGCTATTTGGGAGGAGCTCCGGGCAATCTGGGATGAAACCCAGCTTGTTGGAAGGAGGGCCTGGCAAGCTGGCTTTGCTACCAGCTCCAGAAAAGCTGGAATTAAATTAAGGCTGTCAGGAGGGATTCAGACAAGCTGGGATCAAACCCAGCTTGTTAGGAGGGGCTCCAGAAAAGCTGGGATTGAACACAGATTGTCAGGAGGAGTCCCTGATAAGCTGGGTTTAATGCCAGCTTTTTTGGGAGGAGTCCCACCCAATTTGGTGCAGTCTCAGGTTGTATTACACATAATCTAGTTAAACACAACTTGTAAAGACTCAGGAGGACCTCCTGGCCAGCTGGGTTTAAACTTAACTTGTCAGGAAGAGTTCCTGGTCATTTGGGGTTAAACCCAGATCTTTGGGAGGAGCTCCTGGCTATATGGGTTTAAACCCAACCCGTTGGGAGGAAATCCTGTCCAGCTGGGTTTAAACCCATCTCGCCAGGAGCTAATCCCAATGAGCTGGGTTTAACCCCAGCTTGTCAGGAGGAACTCCTGGCCAGCTGGATTTAAACCCATCTGGCAAGGATCTCCTCCCAATGAGCTGGATTTAACCGCAGCTTGTCAGAAGGAAATCCTGGCCAGCTGAGTTGAACTCATGGCCAGCTGGGTTTAACTCATGGCCAGCTGGGTTTAACTCCTAGCCAGATGGGTTTAAACCCATCTCGTCAGGTGAAACTCCTTGAACGCTGGGTTCAAACCCAGCGCGTCAGGAGGAGTCCCTCCCGATGCGGCACAGTCTCATGTCGGATTACGCGTAATCCAACATGAGACTACGCCACACCCTCCATAAACCCAGCTCTCCTTGAGCTCCTTCTGACGAGCTGGGAGTAAACCCAGCTCTCCATGAGCTCCTTCCGACGAGCTGGGAGTAAACCCAGCACGCCAGGAGCTTCTTTTGAAGATCTGGGTTTAATTCCAGCTCGCCAGGAGCTTCTTCTGAAGAGCTGGGTCTAATCCAGGAGCTTCTTTTGAAGATCTGGGTTTAATTCCAGCTCGCCAGGAGCTTCTTCTGAAGAGCTGGGTCTAATCCCAGCTCGCCAGGAGCTCCTCCCGACGAGCTGGGTTCAATCCCAGCTCGCCAGGAGCTCTTCCCGACAAGCTGGGCTTAATCCCAGCTCGCCAGGAGCTCCTCCCGACGAGCTGGGTTTAATCCCAGCTCGCCAGGAGCTCCTCCCGACGAGCTGGGTTTAATCCCAGCTCGCCAGGAGCTCCTCCCGACGAGCTGGGTTTAATCCCAGCTCGCCAGGAGCTCCTCCCGGCGAGCTGGGAGTAAACCCAGCTTGACAAGAGCTCCTTCCGACAAGCTGGGAGTAAACCCAGCTTGCCATGAGCTCCTTCCAACGAGCTGGGAGTAAACCCAGCCCACCAGGAGCTCCTTCCAACAAGCTGGGAGTAAACCCAGCTTGCCAGGAGCTTCTTTGGACAAGCTGGGCTCTCCAGCAGCTTCCAATGAGATGAGTTCAAACCCACCTGTCCAGGAGCTTCTTCCAAAAATCTGGGTTTAAACCCAGCTTGGCAGGAGCTCCATCCAATGAGGTGGTGTCCCAGCTCGCCAGGAGCTCTTTCCAACAAGCTGGGTTTAAACCCAGCTGGTCTGTCAGGAGGGGCTCCTGGCCAGCTGATTTTAATCCTAGCTCCCCAGGAGGAGCTCCTGGCTAGCTGGGGTTACACCCAGATTTTTAAGAGGAGCTCTTGGCTAGCTGGGGATAAACCCAGCTTTTCAGAAGGAGGTCCTGGCTGGATGGGATTCAACCCAGCTTGTTGGGAGGACCTCCCGGCCAGCTGGGTTTAAACCCAGCTTGTCTGAAGGAGTCCCTCCCAATGCGGCACTGTCTCATGTTGGATTACACATAATCCAACATGAGACTAAGCTTCAACCTCCAGACAAACTGGTTTGAAACCCAGCTTGTTGGAAGAAAATCCCAACAAGCTGGGTTTAAACCCACCCAATGAGCTGGGTAAATATCTATGACTTGAAGTTGCAGATTTAGAACTGCAAAGAATAATTTTGATAAGAAATTAACTGATCTGAGAGTATATAAACCTAGAATGACAATCATCATCTGGGATTATTGTAATGTAGTTCTGCAGGGGCTGTAGAAAAAAGTTTTGGGCTGATTATTTTTAATTTCTATCAATGACAAGTGAATTAAATGAATCATTACTTTGAGGAAGCTCTGGTGAATTATATACTATTCCATTGTGAATTTCATTTGAATGTTGAGTGAATGCTGAGGGAGAATCAGTTCCCAACATTGTGAAAAATATGTGAATTTCAGGTTCTTTACCAGATTGAATTTTTGAGAAACTTATCTGATTTTATGGTGACATGAAGTCACTAGGCAACCAGTGCCCTGATATTTCCCCTGGTGTCTCACTACGTTTCGGAAATCACTTACCGCTCTTCAAATGTCGATCCAAGCCAATCCCAACTTCATGACGATCTCAACCGGTCTTTCAGCGGCTCTCTTATTACGAAGCTTGCATCAAGATGAAGGTCTATCATCCTTGGTTCAAAGTTTGTACGACAAGAAACCGTTTACTTTTGAAAAAATCTATGATTGCCTACTCATTGAAGATTCTCAAAAAGCAAGTGGAGTTACGGAGTCAGCCTACTACTCAAATCAAGCTCGGCAATCTGGGAAAAAGTCTGCCGATCAATCGTCATCAACTTCGGCATTTCGTGGTGCAAGTTCATCTCGTGGTAACTAGAGATGGTCGGTCCGCATCCGGATATCCGATGGCGATTTCAGCGAAATTGCACATCCGCATCCGCACCCGCACCCGCTAGCGGGTATCCGTCGGCCGCAGCGGGTATCCGAGCGGGTATCCTCGGATACCCGCCCCCTAAAGGGCCGGCGACGGACCGGCTGGAAGGGCTTCCTTCCAGCCGGCGAGGTACAAGTACCTCGTCGACTGGAGAGAACCTCCCCCTTTCTTTTGAGCCACTCAACGACCAAATGGCCCGGCATGGATCGCAACTCGCGAGTTGCATTATATATCCTACTTACATACTGGCAGCTTTAACACAAGAAAGTTTGTCGCTTTTTTTTTTTTTGAAAGTAAAACGAAAGGAAAGGAAGAGAGGCATTCAGAATTTGAGACAAGATGCTTGCGGGGAGGTAGATGTTTAAGAGGGGGTAAAGGGTATATGTAAATACAAATCGAGTGGGTTCGTGAGGGATAAAGAAAGAAAGAGAGAGAGAGAGGATGATCAATGATGAAACAATCTGAGCCCGGTTTTGCAGTAGACCATTTTAGCCTCATCAGCGGCCTTGAAGACCGCAGGGTCCATGACGCTACCACCAGGAGCGGCGATGTACTTGACGCCACTCTTAGCGGCCCTTCGAACGTTACCGGTGAATGGGAAGAAGGCATCACTTCCAAGTGCCACCCCATCAAGCTTTTTCATCCATTCTTTGCGTTCAGCCTTGGACAGTCGCTTGGGGATTTCCTTGAAGATTGCTTCCCATTCCTTGTGTTCCGTACTGATCACCCCCTCTTCCTCATCATCATCGTTATCCCAAACCGCATCGGTCAGATAGAGGTCAATCGCATTCGCCTTATCGGCACGTTTCGTCGTCGGTTTGAACTTCATCCCCAACACCTTGGGATGGTGTTGGAGCCACCATAGATCGGCCTTAGTCCCGGCCAGACGCGTGCAGTGGATCCGAGACTGTTGGCCAGCTCCCAGACCGATGAGCCCGCCCCTGAATGCATACGCCACTGAGTTCGACTGTGTGTATTTCAAGGAGAGGGTCGTGACGATTAAATCAGTGATGGCCGACGCCGACAAATCTTTAGCCTCGGTCACGATATCCTTGAACAATTCCGGCGTGATCTTCACATCATTTCGTTGTTGTTCCAGAGTGATTCCGTGGACCTGTCTTCGTTCGATCAATTCAGGCTGGAAGCTAGGGTCCATCTATCCGCGCCCCATCCAGTCAACGAGGTATACCTCGCCGGCTGGAAGGAAGCCCAACCAGCCGGCCATCTCCCCTTCTAGCCGCGGGTATCCTTTGGGATACCCGGATACCCGCCAGCGATTTGCGGAAAAGGGGCCATCCGCACCCGAATCCGCACCCGCTAGCGGGTATCCGCCAGCGGATAACAGGTATCCGCGACGGATACCCTTCGACCATCTCTAGTGGTAACCATCGAGGAGGAATGTCAACTCGAGGGGGTTTTAGAGGAGTCACACCAACGCGACCTGCTCCCAACAAGCAACCCGACAACGTTTCCGACCAGTTCGCAAGGATGTTCAATGCTCAAATGAAGAAATTTATGAGTGATCAAGCTAATCTGGTGGAAACTGAAGAATCTGACCACGTGGATGCAGCCGAAGAAGATGAAGACGATGAGGAACTCGATTACATCTCGCTAGACGGGTTCATGATTACGGATGAAGTCAATGCAAATGGTCTTACCATTGTTCCTCAACCAAACTCCTTGATCCTAGATACTGGAGCGTCAAAAACCACGCTATGCGACTTCAATTTGCTTGTTGACCCACAACCGATTCTTAAGTCGATCAATACGTACTCAGGATCAATCGAGATTACTCACGTTGGGAAATTCAACATGAATGGTACCATGATCTATCCAGTTTTCTATGCGCCTAACGGTCCTAGGAATCTCATCTCAGTCTCGCAACTTGAAGATCATGGACTCCGTCTGGTAGTAAAAAACAGGTTGATGTTAGTACGACTGGGTCAAAAAGTCATCTACCGGTTCCCTCGAGTTGGAAATTTGTACCAAGGCCAAGTCCCTAGGTCTAACTCTGTCAACTACGCATTAAACGTCTCCGATCCTGATCCACGCCTCGATTATCACATCCTTCTGGGTCATCCATTGGATGAATACTTGAAGAAATTTTTTGATTTGCACGGTATTAAACCTGAATCTACCGGTCAGCTTGCCAAGTACTGTGAAGTATGCAAGCAATGTAAACTCAAACGAACGCCTCATGTGAACCCTCTTCCCACCACCAACCGACCATTCAAAACTCTTCATATGGACGTCCTTCAAATCTCCCCCCCAAGCAAATCCTCAATGAAGTACATCCTGGTCATTATCGATGATTACTCTAGATTCAATCGCATCTACCTTATGAAGAACAAGTCCGATTCTGAATCGAAAATCCTGTCTTACGTCAAAGAAATCACGAACAAGACGGGTAAGTGCCCAGCTCTCATTCATACCGATCGTGGTGGTGAATTCAACTCAACCTATTTTCTTTCGCAACTGGAAAAATTAGGTATTCGTGTTGAAGCTGGACCGGCAAACAGCCCTCAAACTAACGGCCTTGCTGAACGATTCAATCAGACTTGGCTCGTGAAAATCCGTTGTCTTTTGGCTCAATCATCTGTACCGATTAACTTCTGGGATGAAGCGGCTCGCTATGCCTCAACTCTCATCAATCTCCTCCCCTCGAAGGCATTGAATTGGTCCAATCCTGTCTCGGTACTTTCGGAATTGAACATGTGCATTGAGCCGATTCGAGACGTAAACAAATTAATTCCATTTGGTTTGAAGGTTTATGTCACTCACAAACCGCCGTCTAAAGTCTCCGCGCCCTCAAAGCCGCTCATATGCCTTGGTTATGAAGACCATTCCGATGCGCTACGGTTCAGGATGTAAACGGGTCGGGTTCGGGCCCAAAAACAGTGCCCAAACCCGACCCGACACCTATGTTGGGTTGGGTCGGGTCGGGTCAAACTTGAATATATGCTGCCCAGACCCAAACCCGTCTTGGGACTTTTTGGGTTCGGGTCGGCAGTTTGCATGCCGGGTTCGGGCCGACCCGATTGTTTTAGCCTTTGTAGAGCAACTCTGACAAAAACTGACCTGCCCGACCATCAAAACACCTGCCCGAACCCGACCCGCTAAGCTTCCGGGTCGGGTTCGGGTCATGTGATTTTCTCACAAAGTCTGCCCAAACCCGACCCATGACCCGTCGGGTCTCGGGTTGGCTTTGGGTCGACCCGACCCATTTACACCCTGAGCTACGGTTCTTTGACTCCACCAAAAGACATGTAGTCATTAGTCAAGACTATTCGCCAACTAAGCTAGCCTTTCGCTACAACTCCACCTCCGCTCTCACAAAACCCCCAGACACTCTACCTCGAGCAGTGTCTCTAACCTCCAAATCCTCCTCAGATAGGGTATCTATCAACATCAAATCCGCTGGCCCCGCAACCCCTCCATTGCTCAGTCAACCATCTCTGACGGTTCCGTCCCGAACCCCGAGCTCAGGTCCGCAAGCGTCAACCCTGTCTGATAATATACCTGCAAACCATTCCTCCAGTGGTATTGCGGCACGCTCTCGTCAACCATCTCCTGTCGAAGTTCCATCTCGTCCACCTTCGCCTCCTGCGTGTGATGCAGCTCGAAACCGTCAACCGTCACCGCCTGGTCCTACCTCAGCTTTGCAACCAATTCCCTCTACGAGAGTTGCTGCAAAGAAACTCAAGGATCGTTTCGAGCTGGTTCCTGCCAACAAGCCCCCGGCTAATGAAATCGTAGGGGATGTGGATGCTTGGAATATCATTTCTGGTTCCCGTCGACGAGGAGGAGCTAGATCGCCGGCTCTAAATATGATGGCACCAGCTGTGACGGACCCGCCGGAAGAATTATTACTCTTGCATTTCGATGTTCCTGATACGGTTTATCTCACTGAAACGGTCTCAATCAAGGAAGCCCTCGCTAGTCTTGACGAACGTCGCGGCTGGAAAGAAGCGATGGCCAAGGAATATCACTCACTGGCGTCAAAGAACACTGGTACCCTGGTTCCTCCGCCGGGTGATTACAAAGTAATCGGGGGGATGTGGCTCCTTGGTCGAAAGAAGAATGAGTTTGGCGAGTTGCTTCAATTCAAAGCTCGATGGGTCTGCTTTGGTAATCATCAGGTCCATATGTTGCATTATTTTGACACATATGCCTCAGTCGCTCGGAATGAATCCTTTAAATTACTGTTGACTGTAGCGGTAAATCGTTCCTGGCACGTCTTCCAATTCGACGTTGAAACTGCGTTTTTGTACGGTGAGATAGACGCTCCAGTATACGTGGCTCAAGTAGAAGGCTTCGAGGAACCGGGAAAGGAGACCTGGGTCTGGAAGCTCAATAAATCTTTGTATGGTACTAAACAGGCTCCACGACAATGGAGAAAACATCTGGTCGGTACACTTACTTCGTTAGGCCTCGAATCGTCTCCTCTGGATGAATCGCTCTTCTATAACAAGGATCGGTCGGTTTTCTTGCACATGCATGTCGATGATGGATTTGTTGTGGGAAGACATCGAACCTCAGTTTTGGCACTCCTCGATGATATCAAGAAGGTCTACACCATCAAAGTAAAAGAGAAACCGACTCAACATCTCGGCTATACGCTTGACTGGAAGGAGGATGGCACCGTTCATGTCAATCAGGCAGACTTTATCCAGAAGATACTGTATGACTTCAACATGCACGATTCAAATCCAGTCAGAGCGCCGGCGCCGATGAATTTGCATAAGATTGTTGCGACAGATGCTCCGCCTTTTCATCCAAAACTGTACCAGAAGGCTGTGGGAATGCTCAACTACCTGGCACTGCATACTCGTCCGGACATAACCTTCGCTACAAACCTACTTGCCCAGTTTACCAACAATCCGAATGAGGCACATTGGTCGGCGGTTAAACACCTTTTGAGATACCTTAGAGGTACGCCGGTGATGGGCATCCACTATACGCAAACTCATGATCCTGATGAGGGTCTTTGTGGGTGGGCAGATGCAGATTACGGTGCTTCTCTTATCACCAAGAACTCTACTTCCGGCTATGTGATTACAATGTATGGAAATCCAATCTGTTGGTCAACAAAGAAGCAACCTGTTGTTGCACAATCCACTACAGAGGCCGAATTTGTGGCGATCAATCGATGCGCCAAACAACTTCAATGGTTGACCAATCTTGTCTTGAATCTTCATATAAAAATCAAAGCTCCAATAATGAAGAACGACAATTCCGGAGCAGTAATCATTAGTAAGGAAGCAAAACTCAACGACAACACCAAACATATTGAAGTGTGATTCCAATATGTCCTGCAACTAGTTGACAAGAAGCAAGTAATCATGCAACAAGTTTCAACCCATGAGATGATCGCAGATGGATTAACTAAGCCGTTGGGATTCATCAAGTTAGAAGGCTCAAGAGAACAGCTTCACCTAACAGATGCAGAATCAAGGAGGAGTGTCAACAAGTGATCCTGACCTGTTACGGTGTGTCAGTGACATTTCGGATATTGCATACCCATATGCAAGAACCAAAGACGAATCCAAGTTCAGCCCCTGTGACTCAAGGCTGAAAATCTTCATCGCACCCGGAACCACCATCGTCGCAACCTGTTGAATCATAAGCTCCCTCAATCCACTGCCGATCAATCCCAAACTGTCAGATTCTTGTTTCGCCTCACCGCTCGTCTAGACCAAAGGAATTCAGGAGGAGCTCGGTAATAACTCAAGTGGAGGTATATCCAAGTCCCATCACTGTCTCGATTCCTTTCTCTATCTCTCTCTTCTTTTCTTTGTTCAAATTGATTGATCTTACATTTCTCTTTCAGGCTTGTTTGTTATTTTCCTTTTTCTCCTATAAAAATTTCTCGTGTCTATCAATTGAGTCGTAGCCAGAACAAGAACATCAAAAAGGTACTTAGTGATTTCACTCTTTCTTCTCATCAAGTATTCTTGCATGTTTCATTTATTTCTTCAGTTTCTTACTCAATTCTTTATTGCCTTTTTCCTTTTGTTTATTTTATTCTCTCAGTTATCTACTACTATTAGCATTTGATTATAAGCTGCAATAAAGTATTTGACCTCAAAACTTCTACACCCCCCCCCCAGGGACATCCGGATGCGGTGGGGCCATTGCTACTCCTCACTAGGGGGTATCAAATATAACCAAATCCACCATTATGTAATTGACTGGTTTAAAATAATCCACCCTTTTTTAAACATAATGGTTCTTCATTTAATTAAACATGATGGTTCTTCATTTAAACCCTATGGGGGCCCATTGATGCAAAAATAAATCAGGAAAAGTGACTGGTTTCTAATGGTGGATGTCCTATATTTGATGTCCCCTACTATCTGCTTTGATTTTGATCAAGATTATCTTGTTTTCTAATTTTGAATTGAAACTTTTTGAGCTCCTTTTAATAGTCACTTTCTTTCCCACTTCTTTTGAGATTAATCCGATGATTCAAACAAATTACATCTCCATTTCTTTATTGGGCAGCAACTAACCCAGGACCCACATTGGCTCAGGTTTGTGTTGACTGTTATAATAAATCAAAGTTTGAGCCTGCTTGTCAAAATGAATGCACAGTCGTAGCAATTTACCCATTTCCCACCTGTGGTTAGCTGGTTGTTATTGTATTTTTTAATTGTTAAGAGGGTTTAGGACAAAAACATTGAGTATGCAATCAGCAGTCTAACCCTGAGTTGATTTCCTTAATTCCGAAAACAAGATCCCTATCAACTTACTCCTCCTCAATCTCATCATTAAGGAAGTTGAATTCAGATAGCAAATATTCCATTGGGGGGGCAGAGAGGGGAGTGTGTGAGAGTGTGTGCAAAGGGGGGGGGTGATTATCACTCTCCCATTGGGGGTGGACTTGGTTGGGAATTTGCAATTGAGGAAGGTGTCAAGCACAATGAAGAACTGGCAATTGGATGTCCTGGCTCAAGTAATTTCATAATCCAATTTAAAGAGATAACTGAAATTGAGAAATACAAACTTTCACTCACTTGCCTTTGTATTTGGCTTTTGTATCAGCAATGGGATTGAATTCTATCTTGTTATTTCAATAGTGGGATTCAGAGTTGAGTGCAAATGCCTTGCAAAAAGTTTTGCAAGTGAATCTGCACAACAAAGCATGCATCTTCTGTTCCCAGTATTCATTGCAAGGTAATATGTGGCTAGTAGATAGCCATTTTTGAAGATCACCATGCATGAGAGTGACTTGAAAAATATCTTGCAAGTCACTTGAAGTTGCACTCAGCTATGAAACCCCCTATTAGGTGAGTCTCCCAACTTTGGAATTTTCCCTGATGTTTTCTTTTTCTTCTCTAACTAAAAGCAACAAACACTCAGCATATTTGAGTTGACACTGATCCAAATGACAATGCACTATTATGTACGTGTGAGTGACCCTCACCAAAATTATTTGATTTTAATTAGGTATATTCCTCATAATTGTGATGAATAGAGTCCCACCAATTTCACATCAGTTTGAATTCCGCCCCAGATGTTACCAAAAAATTTATGCCATAATATTTCTTCTTTTGGGAGGATTGAGCCAGGAGATTCTGGAATAAGAAAATTTAGAATCTTCTTCATTGAACAATTGATTCAACAGATTTAGGTGGACCCGCTTTTTTGACTCTTGCCTCAAGAAGCCCCTCACTAGTACTGTAAGGTATGTACATTATATCTGGAAATAGTTGAATGAGTAACATGAATAATTCAACTGATACATCTGAATTCAATAGCATAAGGTTACCAATTGTGGGGCTTATATGCTTTTATTAATGGTGGATTGGTTTAAAGCTTGTAAACTTTTTCACCCTCTGCTCAAGGAATTAGGGCATTGATTCAATAGAATTTGGGTATTTCAATCCAATCTGTCTTCGAATCTCGTCAAAAACCTGGCGCAATCAACAGGGAACAGATGCAATAATGGTATCAGCCAGCCATACGCGGATGCATATTGATACAATTGGGAACCAAGCCGTCAAGTACTCAACTTCCATCATCAATATACTTTCGGAGTGGGGCATACGTTTTGATTCAAGCTTTCTGGATGCTATAGATCTTGCAACTTCATCCGCTTCCCACACTGTTCTCGGAAGAAATGAAAGCAGAGAAAAGATTCTCGTGAATCTCTATTGCTTGATAAAATGGAGAATAGTACAATCCCGACGAACTGTATCCTTGTGCATTGCCTAATAAACCGAAAAGAATAAAATTCAAGATCAACTTGATGGAAGACAGAATTTGATCATAAAACTCGTTCATTAACCTGGAATCTCAAACGACTGAATCTTCTCCTGCGGATGGTTGTCTCTTCCTTGGCTCGTGGGTGTGGCATCCCCTTCAGCTTGATCTGGGTAGACGGTAACTCCGAATTGATATGGACAACAAGCAAGACTGTGCAGGTATCAAGAAGAAATATATGAGCTTTTTTCAATATTCAATTGAAGGATCGCACCGGAGGATGATTGATGTGACTTACGATGGAATTCTGATTCGACCCTTGGTACCATATATAGTCACTGCTCTGTCTTCGTTCGTATTTTGAAACATGCTACTAATGAGCAAACTAAATCATCTCATGAATAAGTAGTCAAATTTAGTTCAGTTTCACGCAAATCATCATCAGAGTCTGTGGCATTATCATTGCGATATCGTCACAAATGGCAGAAAAATGATATACCCTTGAGCTTTTCGACCAGAAGGAGTGGGGAACTCAAGGACTGCGATTACTGAGCCATCTACCGGCTCAGATGAAGGGTGCGCGTTTCGATGCGTGTACATAGTACCAGAAGCAGATATTTTGGGTATTGATAGATCAGTTGGTGCTGTAAGGCCATAAGAATCTGATGAGCCTATCAAGCCAAATGTCCAACCCCCATAAGCACGGATGTGGCAAGTTCCTGCGACCAACCTGGATTTTCATGTTTGTTGTCATGGAAAGATGATGATTCGGGTTTGATGTTTTGATGAAGCAATGTGAGTGCAAGCATCGTCCATGGATAGGGTCTGCAAAGTAGTAAAAAGTAGGGATCAGCATCCATAGATAGTGATACCGATGTTGCTTACCCTAAATCGAGAAGTGCTCCACCGGCCAGCTTCGGATTGACTAGACGATTGTCATTGGGCAACGAGTCCGGAGCGAAATCGACGCTCAAATCCGCATCAACCTGTCTTATCGCAAATGAGGCATAATCACTCTAAACCCGCCACGGGTAGGATAGTCGAAGCGACTCAAACCAAATTATACCATCAGGCAAGCTTACTTACCCGCTGAATTTCGCCAATTGCTCCCGACGCAATTACTTTTTGGAAGCTATGAGTGATAGGCAAAAAACGAGTCCACAAAGCTAACCTCAACAATTAAATTCAGTTATCTTTCATACATTCAAGGTTTCACGTGGAGCCATGGGTCAAGATAGTATTTGAAGTGTATCAAATGAGGAGCTGATTGCTCACCTTCCATCAGAAAACATTGTTTTTCTTTAGCTGCCCGACACAACTCTCGAGCTTGAGCCGCGTTGACCTTTTTCAGAAAAAAAAAACGCGTTTTATCAGACGCAGCAAATTTCACAAACACTTCCAAATGAATCGTGATATTTGCAAGATGCGAGCATGCTGGAAAACAAGAGACTAACCGTCATAGGTTTTTCGCATAACACGTTCCTATTACTTCCCAAGCAAAGCATCACATCCGAGAAGTGAGATGAATGAGGGGTACCTGGTAAATCAGCAATCAGTAAATTCCTATCAGACTGACCAATCTGAAGAATCAATGGATTATAGATGTCCGTTGCTTTTTCCCATTTTGGCCAGTGTGGGTAGGCCACCGGTTTAATAACTGAGGTGAAGAGACAAGCAAATAAATTTTGAATGAAGGAAATATTGCTACACACCGACATAAATGACATCAACTTCCAGATCTGAAACCAAATCCTGATAAGAACCATACGCCTTGGTTGAATGCGATTCCAGACCTTCAATGCGACTGATGAACTCCTCAGCTTTCACGAATGATCTCGAACCAATTGCAGCGATCTATAAAAATCACTATCAATTCAGAATCTCTGGTTGAGATGGTCACTGGATAACCATTGCACTCACTCGATGATGGACATCAGAGACTTGGCGAGTTTTTGGATCGATCAAGAGGTCTCTGACGAACTTCCTGCTTCCATCTATAGCATTTAGCAAATACTTCCGCTCAAAGAACGAGGATGCCACTCACTCAGATATAGCACCAGCCCCCTGTAGATTACATGGTCACATCAGCCACCCCACAAATCACAACGTTAAACCTTTGGCCACTGAAGAATGAGCTCGAGGAGTCCTATCGTACTGACCATGATACCCCAGCGACATGTGAACTGTTCCCTAGCCATAACGATAAGCACGTTCTTGTTTGGTGCTGGCTCTGTCAACTTTTACTTGTCTGGCAGTTTCCTGAAAGCTATTGCAATTCTCAAACTGGTCCGATGATGTCATACACAGGTCACCGAGGCCGGTCCGGGTCAGGGCCGGTGGGTGGTGAACCGGTCGAGTCACGGGGTCGTGTCGTCTAATCCCGAATCACCGGGTTCCAGGGTGATCCTACTGGCAGCTGTTCGGGTTTCTCTTAGGTTTGCCAACATCTGCTGCGGACAAGTGAGACTGCGCCTCTCACCTGGTACCCAATCTCAGCCGAACCACTCCGCCGCCCCTGCACCCTGTAACGTCATCCGCCAAGCATCACGCCCCTCCTCAAGTCGTGAAACCCCAAACTATCGGACACCAAGGTACGTCGGTCTGAACTCGAAAAGTCACCCTTGCCTGATACCAGAAAGTCACTATGCCGGTTTTTCTAATTTTGGATTGCTTTGTCTGCGACCTTCATTCAGATGACGACCATCAGCAAGCGAAGAAAGTTCGTGGCCGACGGCGTGTTTTACGCTGAATTGTCCGAGTTCTTCACCCGTGAACTTGCCGAAGAAGGTTATTCCGGCTGTGAAGTCCGAGTTACTCATGCTCGAACTGAGGTCATTATCCGAGCCACCCACACTCAAGAGGTTCTTGGACAGAAAGGCCGTCGGATTCGAGAATTGACCAGTCTCGTACAGAAGCGATTCAAATTCCCCGAAGGAAGTGTCGAACGTAAGCGGATTCAGCCCTTGTTTAACAAGAAAGTTTCAACCTTTCCTGATCTTGAGCTTCATTGCGATTGGCCGTATGTATCATTCAGTTTACGCTGAGAAAGTCCAACAACGTGGGCTCTGCGCTGTTGCCCAATGTGAATCGCTTCGATACAAGCTACTCGGTGGTCTCGCTGTTCGTCGTGCTTGCTACGGTGTCCTTCGATTCATCATGGAGTCGAACGCCAAAGGTTGTGAAGTCGTTGTCTCCGGAAAGTTGCGTGCCGCCCGAGCCAAATCCATGAAGTTCACCGATGGTTTCATGATTCACTCCGGTCAACCCAGCGTGGACTTCGTTGACCAGGCTGTCCGACACGTCCTCCTCAGACAGGGTGTCCTTGGTATTAAAGTCAAAATGTTTGTATCCCCTATCACTCCTATTCAACCATTTTCACGTCCCTCTTACACCTCGCTTGTATTGTTTATCCTGACATCAATTGATCACACCTAGCATGCGAGGTAACGACACCGAAGGTCGTGGTGGTGCTCCACCCAAACCATTGCCTGACATGGTCACTATCTTCGAGCCCAAGGAAGAAGTCATCGTTCAGATGCCAGTCTCAGAAAACTCCCGACCTGCGGAAATCAACCCCGCCTATGGCGAAGGTGGAATGGAAGCCGCTCCTGAGAACCAGGAACCCCAAGTCGCCCCTCAAGAACCAGAGGCCGAGGAACTGGGTGGTTACTAAAACCTACACATGTAACTCGTCCAGCAATTCAAATTATCTTTGCCACATTGACCCCTTGCCGTTTCTATCTCTTGAGTCTTTGCCATTCCTAAGTTCTGTTTGCCCACTTGTGGCTTGAAGGCAGTGCTTTCATCTTTCTGCTTGAGTTTTCGTACCTTGAAAGAAGGTGCCCCCACTTACTATGACCTGCTGTGGGCCCTGCAAGATGTGTGCTGGCACTCTCCTGCTCGACTTGCATGCAATCATATACAAACTTTTGAGAGAAGTGAATTACGTATTGCATTCTTTGTGGGGTTTCTTATTTGAGGGGTGGCAAACCTGGAAGAACTTTTGCTGTCAGTCAGAGACACAAAACCTGGCAATTATGAAATTTTCATAGTTGTAAGCTGTTGGGCTGGCCCCTGGTGGAAGAGGGCATGGGCATGGCTGGTTACCTGGTCCAACAAAGTATTGGAGTTCTTTTCAGGTATGATGAGCAGTATCTTGGTGTGGAGTTGACAGCCTCACTCCCAGCTGGCAAATACATTGGGTATGCTGCACTACTTCACCATCAGCATATGATTATGAATGAAAATTTTGGGAAAAATGGTTCCCAGATGGTTTCAAATAGCTGTTGAGTGGGGCATTTACCAGCACTCATTGTAGTGGAGGACTTCTGGTCAGAATCTTTGGGTCCTCAGTTCTGCTCTAAAGCCTTCAAAGCTAGATTTCCCTAGAAAATTCAGACTTTTTGGGTTTAAATTGGAAACTGGGAGGAACCCAGATCCAACAGGAAGTTGTCCAGTAAAGTACTAGAATTTACTGTCTTGACTCCTATCTGGACAACCAACCTGGCTCACCCTTTTTTAGTTCCAATTTTTTCATTTATAATGGAAGACTTCCCATCAATCTGGAAGCCCTTCTTGATCCAGCTCTGGACTCCTAGATTCCAGATTTTCCCAAATTTGCTTTTCCATCATCTTCATTGTCCAGATCTGCAAAGCAACCACTAAATTCCCTCAGACTTTCCTGTCAGCTGAGCTGTCAACACGGCGCAAGTTCATCAACCCAGCAAGCCTTTGATTGACTCAATTTCAGCCAGCTTTCAAGTCAAGCAAAGTATGGACAGCTGGCTTGAATGGCTCACTCACCATCAGTCCCTCTGTGGACAATGATATCAATTGGTTTAGGTTCAACGGTGCTTGATCCGGGATAGACTTGAGCAAGTTACAGCACGTCAACACAGAGAGGAAGATGAAGCAACTATGCTTTTTGTCTTAATGGTGTTTCCAGGCAGCTGATTCAGAGCCTTGCAATTGGCTTTTGAGATCCCGGGCATGTCCGCCAGTGTGTTTTTGCAAAGGGTTTGTTGACCTGTTGAATGCCTACATGTTATATCTGGAAAGCTGGATAGGACAATGGAAACCCTCCCATAGATTTTAATGGTGGGCCTCCCTGGGGCACACCAAAAATTCTGGGAGATTTCCATTCAGATCTGGATCTAGGAGGGCCTTCCAGATTGACAGGAAGTCTTCCAATCATTCTTCCCATGTTCCATTCTTTATCTCTCTCAGCACTCCCAATCCCCAAAAATGAATATCAAAGCTGCTGCATCACTTGAACAAGTATTGTTAATTCAATTTGTTAATGTTGAAGCTCCCTACCTCTAAGCTCAAGTGCCTCACACCTCATACCTCATCAAAATCATTATCTTTGTCATGTTTTGAATCTTACTGTTGACCAAAACACATTTGGAAGTCTAAACCAATGACATCATTGGTCCAAGCTTTCTCTTGCACCAGCTTGCTTATCAAATACTTAAGCTTGCTGTCTTTCCCTCTCCCATTGGACTTTTTCTCTTCTTGTGGAACTCCAAGGTTGATAACCTAAAACCTTATCAAACAGTCTTACTTCAATATACAGTTGCGCGCAGCAAATTGCTGTAAAAGTTGTGTCTGGATGGTCAAGACTTTTTGGGAGTATCTGGCTTCCCTTGGTGCCAGGGAAAGTCCAGCCCAAGGGCATGTGTCCGGATTGCTGGCCAAAAAAAAACTGTCTGGACCAATTTGGTCGCCACTTTGGATTTAGAATCTACACAGTCTGAAACCTCCAAAAAATTCATCATCAGGAGGTTTGGTCCCCCGAGTCCCGACCCACCCTTGGCCTTGCCCCATGCAGCCAAGTTGGTTTTTTACAGTAATTTTCCACGCGCAACTGTACATCATCATTGATCATCAGACACTTCTAGTTTCTCCACCTGACATAGAATTTCATCAAATTTCCCATCTTTCTCTCTCAAAGAACATCACCTTTTGTTTAGCAATTCCCCTTCCCTGTAAGCTACTACATCAACCACAAAGTTCTTCCCTTCTTATCAACTACTTTCTCAAAGCTCTTCTGGCTTTGGATTCCTTGTAAGATTTTTGCTCTTACTTTATTTGTGTACTATCTATTTGCCATTGACCTATATGGTGTTGCAAGCGCGTCTGGGCACAAACCCAAGTCCCGCTTGGCCGATAGCCACCAGGGGTTTGATTTGTGCCCAGAGGGCTTGATCATGCGGGTTGTGCGGGGGGTGGGACTTGGCACTCAGCCAAGTCCCGCTGGGCCGATTTCAAGCCCTGGGCCGATTGGTGGCTCAAGGCGCTCCCCTCCCTCTCAAAAACCCATACAAACCCAGTCGCCCAGGACGGGAGATACCCGTCTCGATGCTTGGTATACGGACAGAATCAACCGATGATGGTACAGCGACAGTCATCGGTCATTGAGGAGAGTGATTGACTAGTAGTGAACCGGTCATCAAGAAGGGATTCCTTCTCGATGGCCGGCATTTTGGCGGGCGTGGCACCCTCGCTTGATTTCGGTCAAGCGAGGCTTTGCTCCGACCCCCGCCAGCTTTGACATTTGCCAAGCGGGGGCTGGGAAGGTGCCACGGGGGCTTTACAGTCGGCCAAGCGTGCTTTAAGATCTGCCCAGCGCGCTTGGCCTGTTTTCGGCTGAAGTTTGGTGTGTGCCCAGACGGGCTTGCAACACCATAAGAAGTACAACCTTTGGTTGGTTCATTCACCCAAGTTTGTGCTTTGAAGGTCTGGAATCCAAAATGTGCAGCCAAAAATAATGGTCAATCCACTGTACGTTTGGTTTATATTTAGGGCCTTGGTTAAACAAATCCTAAATTTGGGAGTTGTTGTGAGGACCGTGTGTGGAATGTCTCAAGCCTGGCAGTTTTTCCTCTGATTCCTGCAGTGGTGATGGGAGTCAGCCCCCAAACTATTTTAATCATAAAAAACCTCCAGGGAATGGGGGTCATGGCCTTTGTAGAAATCTCAATGGACCTCCTGGCTGTCAAGATTTGCACACACTCAGCAGCCATTTTCCCTCATTTTGGGGTTTTTATGAAAAGTGAACCACAAAAAAAAGTTCCTTTTTGTGTAACTTTGAGAGTGGGGCTCATACTACCCAGCAGGACAAGTAGTGAAGTGAATTGAATTCAAGAAAAGGTTTGCTATTTTTGAAGTATAGTAAAGTATAGTATTGCAAATCTTGTTTTGTGACAGTAATAGCTTGGGCAAGATTGTGTTATTGGAATAAAAATTATTGTTGACTGGTAATGTATTGGCCTGTGCATCAGCTAAAAGTTAACTCAAACCTCTTATTGAGAATAATTTATAAGATTAATGTTCATTGTTACTGTATTTTTGGAATACCATTTGTCAATCTCTTCTTTCATTTTTGTTTCACTATTATGTCCATGCATTTTTTTAACCAAAATTGCTGGTTATACTTTTATTCATTATGCTCAAAATCTTCCTCTACAACTTGGACATTATTGTATCTATTAGCCCGGTTCACAATAGCCAGTCATCAGCAAAATTTTTAGCTGTAATCAGCAAATCATTGATACTTAAAAACACATCCATTTTTGAATGTGTAGCCCAGAGTCCCCCAGATCATTCCAGATCAACCAAAAAAAAAATTGCTATCAGCAACTTTTAACAAGTTAATCAGCCATTGGAACTGGCTATTGTGAACTGGTTTATTCTATTTGAATAAGCTAGAATCCTAGATACAAGTTAATAAAAAAAACATGAGTTATTCTTATAACTGTTCCTCAGAAGACACTATATAATTGACTCAAACTTGTCTCAAGGGAACTTTATCCCTCTTGCATAGGTTATCAAGCACCTCTTCAGACTTAGTCTTCTGTTGGCTTTGTCAATCTTTCCCCTTTTGACACCTAATTTCAGCATGTATCTGCTGACAACTTCAGTAAACAGCAATGTGTTTTGGTGTAGAAAAAGAAAACTCAACACTTTGGGCAGTATTGGCAATGAATAGTGTAATATAGTATCTGCCCACAATCATAATGTTGCTGCAAGTGCAATCCACCATCAGAGCTGTAAACAAACAAGAAAATATTCTCAGTGAAACAAGCATCCAAGATCTCAATCATGAGCCCTGCTAATATATTCATGTGATATATGATTGAGCCACTTGGCCAAATTTTTATCTGATTTAATTTTTCACTCTACAAACTCAAGTTCAAAATTGTAATACAAATAAGTATCACATGCTTTGACACCTGGGGTTGGGGGCTTGTGTAAGTCTTAATTCTGAGGGTAGGACAATACCAGTTTCTGAATATCCTAAACTCCCCATTACTTGGATAATGCAGATAGCACAGCGAGTATTGACCCAGTTTTACCACAAATAAAGCTCAGACTATCTTGATGAAATCTTCCAAGACATTTTGATGTATTGCCATTCAACCTTTTGCAAAGCCCCACCAAACTGATGAATGATGTATCTCCTGGCTTCAAGATGGAACAGTTGAAACATAGACTTTAATCCCTGAGAGAAAACTCAACTGAGAGGTATTTTGGAATCCAGTGGGGGCTCGCTTCCCAGCTGTCCTGGTTCTTCGTCGAGCCGGCAGACATTGGAAGGTCTTGCGCCAACGCTTGTGGCGTGCTCCTTCTCAAATTGCAATCGACCTGCATCAACACATCTGATTAAGCCCAAAAGCACACTTTCCAATCCGGAGCTTCTGTGTAGCCGGAGGTGACGTTCGGAGGCCCACTTAATAAATTCCAAAAGTGTACCCGATTGAAGCCGGGGGTGTGCCCCGTCGACTTCCCGTGCACCTCGGTCATCAGTCGGCGGATGGCCCGCGCACGCAGCAGGCCCCCGCAGTCAGAATGGTGATAAATCACGATGGTCGGTTAACCTAAGCTGGCCTGTACCGGCACACAAGGTCAACCACCCAAATCGCAGGCCTTCAGGACTCACGCCCACCCGCCCGGAACCTCATCATCCCGATCAACTCACCGATCAACGAAGCCGATACGCCATGGTGAGGCCTACCATCCGACACCTCCAGAGCCTTTACTCACCAGTTCATATACTGGGAGGAACGAAATCTCAATAGCTGTCCAATTGCTGATTTCGTGCTCTGCTTTTGTCTCCCCAACTTGCCCCGCTTCGACCCTCAAATGATATGAATACATAGCCTTGTGAAGTCAAAGACATCAAAAGCTTTCTCTTGATCGCTCACCGAAAAGATGCCAAAGGTATTTCTTTCATCCCTGCTCTTCTATCCATCCCTCACCTTATTATTATAATCCTCGTACTGACGACATGCTCTATTTTTTGTTTTTGTGACCATCTTAGCTTGCCGGATCAAAAAGTCGACCCGGACAACTGCCAAAGGCGTATCCACCAAGGTCACCAAGTTCAAAGTCCGATGCTCCAAATATCTGTACACACTCGTTCTGACTGACCCCGAGAAAGCCGAGAAGCTACGAGCATCCCTCCCTCCAAGTGAGTCCATCCCATCCTCCTCCTCCTTCCCCTCTCAGCACTCGTCCATCATCACCCGGCTCATCTAACTCCACTCGTTTTTTCTTGCACCCATCACAGCTCTCAAGGTCGAAGATGTAGACAAAGAGAAGTCCAAGAAGAAGGCATAGATCTCTTACGCGCCTTGTTACACATGATTAGATCACAACTATGCAATTTATGTCAAACTCGAGATTCTACCAAACAATAGTTGACCAATCCCTGCTCATCCTTCAATCGCATCAACGGTTTTATGCCTCTTGAACTCACTGTTGCTCAACCTGACTTTATAATGATAAACGCGCGGTTCCCCAAACGAGATCCCGCTTGTCACCATCATAGGCGACGTGACAAATAATGTGAAGCGTTGATTCTCACTGACGTGACGATGCTATTTGGCTAAGCTTTAGCACTCATATCGCATCAGCTATCGCCTTGTTGATCAGGATCACAACAAACGGGCCTCAGAGGTACCAACCATCAAAGTCAGGTTGCAGGTGGGCTGAGGTTGCGATCAAATGATATATTGATCTCTGGACCCGTAGTGACTCCGCATAGTGAGGCAACAACGACAAAAAACAAAACAAAAAATAGATTGCTGTTCTAATTGTGACAAAGACGCTCATTTGTTCGAGTAGGTACATAGTCTGGAGTGTCTTTTGTATGGCGGCCCTTATTGCATCAATAAACTTTATGTTTACATGAAGTTGAGAACAAGTGAAACACACAACTATGTATATGAAAAATAGAAAAAGCAAACTATTCATATGGTTTCTTTCTGACTGATGAATTGAATGTGTTGACGTCGGGTTCTACAAATGAAAGAACAGTTCCCCATGAGGGATCACCCAAAAAAGTCATGACCAATCAATTCTTTCAAATGAAAGAATAAATCCACATGATGGTTCACTCAATAAAGTACCGACCAATCAATTCTTTCGGATTTTCTTGCGACTAGATTGCGATCCCGATTTAGGATGTTGTTGATGTTGTTGATGATGAGTTGTTGAGCCAACGGTAGATGAGCAGGAAGAGGAAGAAGAACAAACAGACGCTGATCGTTTTTTATTCTGAAAGCGAAGATTGATCATTTCAGCCAAAAAAAAAGGGGGGGGGTGTGGAGAAGGGGGGGGGCAATCAAAAACATGATCTTGGTAAAAGATCCTTTGCTGAAGAAATGAAAAACCGATTTTTGGGCTTACTGTGGTAGTCTTCGGTGGATCCGGTCCAAGGAGGGAAGGATCTTCTGGATTGGATTCGATTGCTGGGTTAGGTTGGGGAGGACGAGCGGGAGGATTATCGAGTTCGATCTTAGCAGGTGATGTAGGATGGGTAGAGGAGGTGGAGAGGGTAGCCAGGAGGGAGTCCTTCTTCTTGCGGTGCACCTTGAGGTCGTTGTCGACCCGGTCGATGAGTCGCTTGAGGTCGATGAGCTGGTTGGTGGCCTGTATCAGTCGCTCGTAGCTTTCCACGTTCTTCCGGGTCGGCATGATCAGTGGCTTGGGCAGATAGCTTAGCAGGTTCGGGATATTCAGCTCGCTCCATACCGTCGAGATCCGGGTCTGAGCAGCGGCCGTCTTAGGCAGCGGGATCCGGGCCGATCGTAGGCAGACCGTTCGGTGATGCCCTCCCGAGCCAGTTGTCGATCCGGTCAGAGAATTCGAGTCTAACCGATAGATGCAGTGTTTCGTGTCATGCTCGATCTGCTCTTGTGGGTCTATCCCTTTCGGACGCTCTCCATTCATCTCTTGGTTGTCGCCTACAAGACCACCACTACTAGCATTGATCGGCAAGTCATCCATCGTGGTGTCCTCTCGTCGAGCGTTACGCTTGTCAAGCTGGTTCAGATGAGCCGACCGACTTGTACTCTCAGGTGGATGAGCAAACCCAGATGGGTTGTTAGCCGAGTTCAAATTGTTGTTGATACTATTACTAATCGCCAGACGGGATAGTTGCAAGGTCGTCGGACTAGGTTCGACGATCGGCCAGAACTTCATCTCATTCAAGATGTGATGCTGGAAGCCTCCGATGATCTTCATTACTTCATCACGATTCCTGATCCGCTTGAGTAGGTTTTGCTCTAATCTTCGCGTCTCGATGTAAATGAATTCTTCTTGCTGTAGCTGAGCCGGTGTCCGATTGAGCAAGGATTTCACATGTTTCTTTCGTTCGACTTCTCTCTGTTTATCGAAGTGATAGGATTGAATCAACTGTTTCTTGTTCGGGTCATCCAGATGAGTGCTTGTCGAACTCGTAGACGGTCGGTGCGGGATTAACTTTTGACAGATCGAGTAGTATCGTGCCTTCAGGTCATCTAAGGTTCGTTCATGACTGCCCACGAATTCGTACCTGTCATGTACTACTGGGAATCTGAGGTCGTAGGTATTCAAGAGATTGAACAGATAATCTGTCTCTGCCTTCGTCCAGTCATCGTCTCTTAGTAGGTGATAGTACTCTTCGGTCGTGTAGCTAAAGACGTTCGATGTTGTATCATATTTCGCAAATCTATAGACTACATCCGTCAAAGTATATTCACTATTGTCAGGATTTCGGTTGAAGAAGGGCCGATTGAGAAATGGGACTTGTCTTTTTTTTTTTTAAAAAAAAAATGAAGTTGACGCACCCTCCTGATCATCAGTACGTACCCAATGGTTCAGTTTCAAGCCGTCCTTTCGAGCCGGGTGATCGATCGGTGCCCAGATCCATTTAGGGGCGGAAGGAGATGGGTCTTTTGAATGAGGGTTTCGTTTGAGGACTTCGAGTGGGATGCTTGGCACGTTATTTCCGATGAGCTTGATGAGGGTTGGGTCTGATTTGCTAGTACTCGCACTAGGCTCAGTCTCGTTATTGGTCGGTGTTGTCTCGATCTTCTTGGGTTGATGATTGTCGGTTGATGGTTGACTGGGTCTTTCCTCTTGCTCGTCCTCAGTCGGTTCTTGGTCCCCAGTCTGAGTCCTGGTGTTTATATTCTCCTTATCATCGTTGTTGTTGTTGTTGTTGTTCTCATCGATGGTCGTTGTCATTTTGTTTTTGTTTTCGTTTTCGTTTTTTGTTTTTGTTTCTGTTTCGTTCGAGTTGAGTCGTGGACTCCGAGCTTCCTCGACTGTCGACTGTTACTCGGCCGAGAAATGTACATAATAAGTCCTCCCCTCTGGATTTTTTCAAACCTCTTTGCAACATCCATCTCCAACTCACCCCGCCCCACCAGCCGAGCTTAACAAAGCCTCTCCAAGGAGGCGCGAAGCGTCTCCTGTTAAGTTCGCCCACCAGCTAAGGTTTCCACACAAACGGATACATAGTACCCCAAGTTGATCAAGTTGGAGTGCTTCTTCAACAATATACATCAATTGTGCTCCGCGCTGGTCGCCACGCAATCTTATAACATAGATAACATAGTTACCGTCTGAGCTAAGTTAAGGTAGGTTGATGTTCGAGGGAGTTAGAAGCTCACATAATCAAGGAGAAGAGTTCTGTACTGTGGTCTGGTGTTGCGTGGGGATGTCGCGTCCGACCGTGTCGGCTGTCGTATCACCCAGCAAAACAACCACCACTCAAAGCTACACCTGGGTTCAGCCAAGTCGAAGCAGACGCACCATACCATCCAAGCCCTCATTCTCCACACCCTACATCAGTAACGGTCATACTTACGAATACGAACCTCAAAAAAAAATTACCCTGGGCGCGTCGCGTCTGTAACGACCCCCTGCGTCGATCAACGGAATCGTTTTTGTCCCGTCCATTGACCCATCAAGCCTCTGCCCGGATTACTTTTGTATGTGACTTAAGTCCCATGCCAAACTACGCCCTCCATCTGATCTGGCTTTCTGTCTCCCTCGATCTTGAATTTACCTTACAATTTGTCGCTTTCCTTCCCCAAATGGCGGCTGCTCCAGCTTCGTTTCGTGTGTCGACGAATCGAGACCAGGAACGCGTCCCAGTCAGTCGATTATACCGGCCTCGATCACTTTGGCCAACATGCACGCCAGGATGGCCAACGTCACCTCGGCGACAACCTCGACGATGCCTGTCATGCCCTCCTATCGTCCTCCCACCTCGCCCTACCACCAGCAGCCCGTGCGGCCGTCTGGCGAGCAGCTGGTTTTCGCCGCCCAGTCCACCGGATCTGCTACCGCCTTTCGAGAGCCCGATCGGTCCGGCTCGACCCCACATACTTGGACCTACAGCGCCCCTCTTAGTGCACCCACCTCAATGACCCTTAGGAAGAGACAGGTCGTATTGGAGATTGAGGTGATCACCGTGGTCAATGTGGTCCCAAAGGTAAACACCGCGAGGACTCGCTTGATATGTCCGAATTGAGTGAGTTGACTGAAACCCCATTTCCTCCCTCGTCATCCGCTTGCTCGGATTCAGGTTAGCTACCCGAACGCCAGCCCAGTCGCAGTCACCGTCACCGTCCCCCCGCCAGCCAATACGATGATCAGTAACGGAGGTTGGCCGATCATCAATCCCGGCTCAGCGGCGGCCTGTTGGTCAGACATGGCATGCAACAGTGTTTGCCCAAACTGTAAGTTCTCTGACTATTTGATTATTGGCTCCTTCGGTTGGTCTAACCCATCGTTCCTTCCGACCGTTCGCTTCTAGTCCAACAGAACGGCTGGTATGCTCATTGTGTAGATGCTGCTAGTACCCAAGTGTCGCTGTCAGATCATCTCCCCCCAATATGTGTACCGGACAAGCATGGTCAAATGCGTATGTCAACATCTTTCTCTCATCCTTTAACAGACCGCCGGCTCAATAAAGAATGTAACTGACACGCGCCTCTGTTTTTCCTGTCCGTGAATTCAGCACATGGGTTTCGAGTGCGCCAGCAAAGACTGTCCAAGTAAACCCCGCCGTTGCCACCGTCACCGTCGTAGTCGCACAAGCGGGACCATCAGTATTGGATCAGATGAACCGCAGAACCCGGTGGATAGGGCTCCTGTTCTTATCTCTATCTCTCTCCGCCTGGCTCGTTTCTTGATTTCTTTTTCTTTCCCCCTCCCCGCCACATGTGATACCATCTGCTTGATTTAGCCTTCTCTACGATCTTCCTTAACGACCTTTGCATCACGCTTCAATACACATGGACTCTCTTCCGGCATATCGCGATATGATCCAAATTGTAAAAACAAAAATTCAACATGCAATCTTGGGCTTCATTCAACTCACCACGTATTAAGGAATTCTTTTTTTCCAAACTTTCACATGCAAGAAATCAATTCAAAATACCAATAACAAAAGCGTCTAATCACCATCGGCCTGATCTGTTCTCTTCAGACTAGGAAAGCAAGCGTTTCATAAGTTTCATACTTGTGACATGCAGAGGTAGTGGTCAAAAACCTTTAATTTAATAAACGAATTCATTTTCTGGGAGCCCGCAAACAGTCTAACTGGGGCAATCAACTTGGAGGGTCATCAATTTTGTAAACAAAAACGAGATTGTGGTAAAAATGCTTGTTGCAGATGTGAATTCCCACCTGGGCGAAAGGTAAAAATAAAGATCAATAACTACAAAGCTTTCCGTATCGAAATTCAAATGGACTAGTCTTGTCGACCTTCAACACGCTCGATTCTGTCCAGAGCTTCCTCAAAATCTTCGGCCAGTTCGAATTGTGCACAAAATTTCTGCCGATCGATTTGATATTCGTTCCGACAATAGCTCATCATCATCGACAGATTTTCTATCATCCAACCGCATATAAAATATGTAAGCATCGGTTGATTGACGTTTCAAAGTCCACTCCAGTTAGCCCGAGCCCCAAGTCTGGCCTCTCTGCTCACAACAAACTCGTTCTTTGAAACTGAGAATTGAAGTTAGTCTATTCACCTGTCCAGACTTCCGCCCCGCTCTTGTAAAGTTGACATAATCTCACTAGGTGAATCGTACAGGCCGTCCCCCCGGTTAGATGGAATTTCCTCAGCTCAAACCAAGATAATGAAGGAATGAACTCACTCTTTTCCTCGAAAACTTGTGGATCGTTGCTACTTTGCACTTTCAGTTTGGCTTTCATCTCTGCAATATCTTGTCTTAAAACTTCAATTTCTCGGAGATCGCTCTCGCGTTCTTCCTGATGGATGGGAGCGGAAATCATGTTTTCTTATTACTGAGAGAATCTAAAGACTGTTTGGCCAGAGAGAGAGTGAGAGAGGGAATGTCAATGAAGGGGACCTACACTGGCCAACCGATCTGCGGCTGACTTGTCCAGGGCTGTCTGGAGTTCACCTCTCTCCTTCTCCAATCGGTCACGCTCAGATTTGAGACCGGTTAACGCACGCGAGGTAGCTAAACTTGCCTCGGACGAAAAACTCCAGAAGAGATTGACGGTACCGACTTTCTCTACGTGGACCATCCCATCATCTACCAAACTTTTGACAGTCTCTTCGACGCTCTGAGCGACTTTGGTCATGGAGTATGGACAGGTTAAGTTCTTGAGGGTCACTTCACTGAAGAAATCAAGTAAGAGTTAAAATCCTTACCGACACCTTTGGCCTTGGGGACCAGCTGTCGAAAATGCAGAGCGAGAAAACGTGAGCACAGAATTTGAGGTTTTCAAACCATGGCTTCGGTTCGATCTCATTCCAGTTGGAAATTTGCTAACCTTGACAAGGTCCTTGAGAGTAAAGAAGCTATCCTTTGAGCGGGTTTTTTTTTTTTTTCGAAGCCGAAGATGATGGTCATGAGTCAATAGGCACTTCAGCTTTCGGACATAAATCTGATTCCGGTCAAGAGAAGTTCCAATGACTGACATTTTCGTGAAAGAATTCGAGGGTCCTCATCTGTTTCTCTTCTGGACTGAGGCCTCTTTTGGACATTGTTGACCACTGCTTTGGATCTGAGATCCTTGAAGATAAACGGCCTGGAGGTTGGTTCTTACTAGTTTGGAGTCCTTCTTTCTTTCCTTCCGGATGACGAGATTGGAGCGAGTCCTTGAAATTGGATTTGCTGTTCAAGCCAACTGCTCAAGATTTATCTGGCACTCATCCCATCGCTAGCAGTGAGCACTGCTCGTGTCCGCCGTTTGGGGATGACTGACTAAGACTGAATGCGTTATGACGTCACTGATTGATGATGATGGCCTTCAACGGTAAATAAATGTAATCGACTCTGAGCCTCTTGGTAATGACCAGTCACATCAGTAGGTGAAAAGGCGATATCGATCTGAGCCTTTCACTTGACATTTTCGCAGACTCGCCTGCATGACCGGCTGTCTCAATTTATCAAGGAGGCAAAGATCATACAGAAATGAGTCAACAACCAGTTTGATTTTGTAAACACTTTCGTCACTCAAACAAACAGCCATTGGTGATCCAATGCCAGACACAGGCACCGGACACATCAGGTAAGAGAACACCTTCAAAGATGAGAAAAACAAGATCACAAAGTGCGGAACGGCGGACTTCATTGGAGCAGCTGAGGTCCTTCTGAAGACCAATTTTGAAACTGAAAACCAATCAAAACGGGAAAGAAAGCCGGAGAAACATGCTGGTCGGAGGTCTCGCCCAGTCGCGACGTCTGACTCATAGATCGCTCGTCGGGATCCTTCCAAACTTCCCAGTCGTAGGTTGGTCAACCACAACCCTAACCCTCGCATCCAAACCTAACTGGCTTCCAGCTCCCACATGCGGTCCCATTTTCAAGTTCACCATAAATACGCCCCAATTGTGTCCCCGCCTTCCCCCAATGGGATTACCACGCAGGATTCCGCTTGATCCATCTCAACGCACGTGACGGTTGACATTTTGGTGACTGTGAGTAACTCTTCGAACCATTCCTCTCGTCTTTCACCTTCCCCTTCAACACCTGCACTTCCAATGATTATAGCGAGTTGAGGTTATACTCGCCCCCTTTATCTGGCACCTCTTATTTGAGCTACTCGGTTGCTTCAAACGCACCGAGTGACGTTGAATTGAAAACACAATATGATGGACTTCCGCGACAAACCTTCTCTCTACCCTTACCCTCCTCTCGCTCTGTGTGACGATCCGATAACTGACTGGAATTACACCTTAGTAGATTCGCACTCACTACTTGCTGTCCTCGACCTTGGCTTTGTGAAGAAATTACGCAGAAGCACCATGTCCGTACTTTTACCTCGATGTGGACGAGGGCAGTGTGCGTTTGGCCCATAGTTCAACTTGAGCTCACCGCCTGAGTCCATGACTCGATGGTACCCAGCGATTATATCCCCGCTGCCGAATTTCTTGTGTATATTTACGTCGTGGCCCCACGCGGTTCCTTGAGCTTTCTTCTTCATCCTACCCTTGTTCATTTCAGTTGCACCTGATGTATAATAGTACCTTCTTTCTCAAAAGGAAAGCTTGTCACCTCCCCACTTCGCCATTGTGTTAATCCAATTATGATGCCCATTTATACCGTTCTTGGTCGTTCAAGTATCCAATAAGGATCACCTTCAAAGCTGTCCCGATTTTTTTCTTGAAACACTGTTTGGCAATTCTGTCTCGAGAAGCCTCTGGGAAAATAGGACGGCAAACCAATGGGCAAGAAGTCATAAGTTTGGTTGGAGCTGTGGGAATGGGTTCCTTCTTGATGACTGTAGCAAGCAGGATGAAACAAAGAAATCTGAAATCTCCAATGAATTGACCCCTCATTTCCTGAGATTCATCGACATTTTTGCATCCAACTCAATCATTTCTTCAGGGGGGATTAAATTCCCACCAGGCTTCACCCCGTGCTCCCACCCCGGGACCTCGTCATCGGCACTCGGGACCACTCGGCGCCACCATCCAACCCGGAGCACCTAGCCGACCACCATGATGTTTTCCCTCGGTCATGCGCGTCCATTCAGGCCGGTGGTCCACCTCATCAACAGAGCTCTTCACCGGAACCATTCCTCTCCCGCCTATCATGAGCATCTCGACCGACTCAGACCATTCATCGATCCCTGTCAGCAGTTCATCGACGCCAAACGGGCCCATCGGCCGATCCTCGCCTTGGAATCCACCATCCTAACACACGGCTTACCAGCCTCAAGTGCCCTCAAGCTTGCCGCTGAGCTCGAGGAAATCGCCAACAGGCTCGATGTCACCCCCGTCCATATCGCACTGATCGACGGACGAATCAAGATCGGCCTCTCAGCCGACGACCTCCATCACCTCCTCCACTCTACCCCTCCAGATAATCTCCTCAAACTCGGAAGAAGAGACTTGCCCTCCGCAATCACTCAGGTTTGCCGCTTCTCTGTATTCCTCCATCCATACTCACTCCCTAATCCCAGTTTATGGGTTTCATAGAAATCGTCCGGTGGGACCACCGTCTCCGCTACCATGGCTATCGCTCATCTGGCTGGAATCAAAGTATTTGCAACTGGTGGAATCGGCGGCGTTCATAGGGGAGTCGTTCATAGTTGAGTGTTTCCTCCTGAATAAAATGTAACTTCTGCTCGATTTATTTTCCCCAATAGCTTGAAATAACATATAGAACTAATGCAAATAAATGTATTCTTTTTTCATTCATAATTAGCAATGGATGTCTCGTCCGATTTAACTGAACTTGCTAGGACCCCCGTTACCGTCGTTTGTTCTGGTGTTAAATCTATCTTGGACATCCCTCTCACCCTGGAATATCTGGTGAGTTCTTCCATCCTAGAGCCTATTTTCCTCTGTATATGCTTGTCAAATATTCGACCTACTTCAAAGAATAAAATGAGAAGATCAGTAATCATGAAGCGACTATGAAGAAATCAATCAGAAGAAGGAATAATAAAACTAGAATGCAAAACATAAGAAGTGCAAATGGAAATTAAGATCAAGATCGATCAAATACATCAATATTTCATCAAAAAATTGAAGACAAGAAATAATCAAAAATGAACATTCCAACATCAATCGACAATTCAAATACATCACTCTATCAGAAAAAATGAACTCATTACATGATCAAATCCAACACATGGTCACCATCAATAGATAGATAGTCCCAATCAATGAATGTTTTTAAAAAAAAACCCTTAAATGATTATCATTTTTCAACTGAGGCATGTTCTCAAATATAACCAAATCACCTAAACTGACGATGAATCTCTCAAATCTACTTATCAATGAAATTGAAATAGGAAACCTTGGGAGTTCCGGTCATTAGTTTTTCGAAAACTAAAGATTTCCCGGCGTTTTACTCTCCGAAATCAGGTCACGATGTTCGTGAGGATTCGAGATGACTTTTTTGTGTATCTTTCCTCCCTTATTAACCCTTTTTCTGGAGGTCTGGTAGACGATTATCTCAAATGCTGATAGTTGATGTTTTTTTTGTTTGGTTAATGTCATGATTGTGACATTTTCTAAATAGGCGCCTTTCAATTCATCTTCTACCCTCGAATGTGCCCAAACGATATGTGAGAGCTAACTTCAGATTCGCAGAAGAAGAGCGACCAGAAGCATCTAATGCAAATTTGTCAACGACACGTCGTATAGATCATTCGGACCTACTGAATCTCAACAGTGGTACGCTGGTAGCGGTGCCTATTCCCAGTCAATACACCCAATCTGGACTACTCATTCAAGAAGCTGTCGAACGGGCCGTTGCTGAATCCGAGAAAATGGGCATCAACACTTTGGGAAAATCAGTGACGCCTTGGTTGTTGAATCGGGTCAAAGAACTTTCCGATGGGAAGAGCGTTGATGCCAGTGGGTCCCCATTTCTTATCTCTCTGTTTGGCCGCGACAAGCAACAAAAGTTTCGGTTGTAGAACGATGGACTTACTGTTTCTTTGAATAAACTCGCTTTCAATTATCTTAAATAGATATTGGGTTAATCAAAAATAACGTGCTAGTGGCTTCCCAAATCGCCAAAGACTACAACGGTCTCATCCTTGCTTCTCAACCCCCCTCGTCCTCGATGATCCCAGTAAGAATTGCTATACACAGGTTAATTGATATTGGACAAGTTATTACTGAAGCCATTCTTGCCGCACGGGTCTCAGGACAGGAAGATAGAACAAGGTGCTCATTCGGCAGGGCAAGGCTGTAAGATGATGGTGATTGGTGCGGCAGCTATCGATATCACCTCGCGAGTGCCTCCAGACGATCGATCAAATCCTCTCGCCACACGATCGACAAGTCCGGGCAGTGTGAAGATGAGCCTGGGCGGGGTGGCCTTGAACATCGCGCGTGCAAGTCATGGACTGGGAATCAAGGATGTCATGCTTGTTTCCCAGCTGGGAAGCGATTGCTCGTTTGGCGACTATCTGCTCAACCAACTTCGCTCGATCGGACTCAGGTCTGATGGCATTCATCTCGACAATCGCGCTTCGACCGGGATAGTTAACATGTTTTTGGACCGTAATGGGGATCTTTTGGGCGGCGTTGCTGATTTGAAATCTATCGAAAATATGGACGGTGAACTCGTTCGTCACAGAAGAACAAGTGGATACAAAAACCCGATTGTTAATTCAGTTTCATTGCTTCTTCACTATAAAATAGACTTCTGAGTTAGTTAGGAATCGGAAACCAAAAGTAGTCTGTTTTGATGGAAACCTCTCTTCTGATGGGATCTTCAAGCTCCTCAAAACGTGTCACGAATCAAAAACTGTCATTAGTGAGATAGCTTCATTTTTTGTTATTTTCAGTCAATTTCTGTTGGTATTGACCAACTGGAATATGTTTTTCTTTTCTTTAATAACAGCTGCCTTTGAGCCAACTTCGGTTTCGAAATCGACCAAGATCATGAAAAGCTTGGTGGGATTGTATAAGAGCACTAACGGAAGAAAGAAGCTCACGATGATGTTCCCTAACCTACAAGAATTGAAGCAGATTCACGAGGTGGGGATCCTGAACTCGAGTGTTGAAGAGCTGGAATCGGTGGAATATTTTGAATCTCTCCAAGCGCTCCGGGCGGACGAAAGGTTCTTAGAGCGTGTCCGCAAGACATCTCCCGCTTGGGTGATCGAATCCGGTACTCTCCAAATGGCAATGAAGCTCATGCCATTTATCGATTTCTTGGTGATCAAGAATGGGGCGGACGGCTTAGTTCTTGTAGCTAACAATTCATCCTCCTCAAATCACCGTCTCTTTCCCTCGCCATCCAGTCCTCAACAACAACAACGACAACAACATGGCGATGTTGATAATCCTTGGATCTTCAATCAGTCCCACTCACTGTGTTTTAAGTTCTTCCCAGCCCTCGCCGATTTCAAACCTGCGGAAGCCCACAACCCCTCTGATACCACAATCCAGAGCAGTCAACAAGCTGTCAATGTTACCGGCGCTGGCGATTCTTTATGCGCAACGATTCTGAGCGAGGTCGCGCTACATGACCCTGACCATACTCATCTTGCTTTCGACTGGGACAAGGTGATTGATTCGGCCCAAAGGTACGATATACAAGTTGATCATTTTCTCTTGGCAGTAGCTGCGTGTTGAACTCTTGCTGATCATTTTCGATGATGTCTCTCTTGGCCCACCCATCACATGAACCCTGTGTATTCATGTTTTTTTTACCCTGGCTTCCTCTATCATGGATGGATGGACACGTGATGAATCTATTTGTGTAGGATGGCTGTTAGAACCCTATGTACTGACCAATCCGTTGGCAAATAACCCACATGAATCTGCTCAGCGAGAGAGGTCCCTGGAGAACTTGCTTCCCTTCAGATCACCTCTTTTCTTCTCATCCAGTTGGTGAATTTCCTCAGACATTGATCTGTACTTCTCTTGCGTTATTTGTGCCCGTTCAGAGTTTGTAAGATACGAAGCGCCTTGCCAGTCAATCCGTTCAGAGTTTGTAAGATACGAAGCGCCCTGCCAGTCAATCCGTTCAGAGTAAGGGTTGATTCGTTGGATGGTTGTTGATCTACAAATTTGGATGTATTACTATTAGGCCAGGACCCAAAAAGATCTTTTTGATACCAAAAGCCAATTGCCGATCTCTAAGAGGAAAGTGGTACTTCTCTCAACGTCAAAACGTCGGCCGTACCTGATCAGTCTGAGTCAATCTGCATCAATCATATTTTGCGGTTTTGCAAAAAGGTTCCCATAAACCCAAGCGTTCCTGCAGATTGTTGGTTTTGTCGGGGTCCTGCATACAAAGCAGCACGGCGACGGCGTGACTCAGCTCGTCACATGGACGCGGGGTATGGGCAGCCAATGGATATCTAAAAACGGACGTCCCCGGACAGGATTGAACTGTCAACCTCTCGATGTCGTGTGGTGGTAACAGTCGAACGCGCTAACCAATTGCGCCACGGAGACTTCGATGGAAATCTCCGCGTTCTGTGAGGATATATCGCATGAGCCATCCCGCCGCCGGCGATGTTCTTCGGCAGCAGACCCAATCACCGATGAAACCCACAGCAAATATGTAATATGTATGACAGCAACCAACCAGCTCAGGGACCAGAGGACCAGAGGAAGAAGTAAGAATAAGCTGGGAGACAATCGGGCCTTGAGTGGACTCGGCCAGAAGAAAGATGGCGACAGAAAAGAGCGACGGAGAGCGGGAAGAACCAGACTATCCGTTCCGAGCGGGGCACATCACCGTATCCTATCCACCCGGGCCGGCGAACGAGTACACCCTGGGCTGTCTCCTCCCGGCAATCGAGCATGGACTGCCCGAGTGGACCATCCTGGTGGATCACACGACCTCCGATCTCGGCCCAGCCGGCCGACTCGGCTCGGTACAGTGGTCAGACTACGACCACATCGAGTGGGCTGCCCTCAAGGCCTTCCCTCACCAGACCCTCTTCAACGCCTATCCGATCAGAAAGGTACATCCTTAAACACTATGAAAACCCTTGAAGAAGAGTCTCGATAATAATAATATAAATAACTGGACCCGGCTCGTATCTGTCTATGCCCCTCCCTCTCCCCAGGCATTGATACGGAAAAACTACTTGATCAAGGCCGTCGAAGCTTATGCTGTCAAGAATAAACATCTGGACCAAGACGACGAAGCCGGTCTGCAGGCGATCCCGATCCCCAAGTCGTATCCGTTCACGCTCTCGTTCTCGGACGAGTTGGACGAGCTCTGGGCCGACGAGCTGTACGAGCTGGCGGGCGAGTTGAGCAGCAACGAACTCACCGACAACGATGATCCGCACCCAAAGCTTTGGATCCTCAAGCCCGCCCTCGCCGATAAAGCCCAGGGCATTCGGCTCTTTCGGTCCCGGGAAGAGCTCTACGAAATTTTCTCCGAGTTCGAAAGGCTCGAGGATCTGCTGGAAGAACAGTCTCAAGAACCGGATGATCAGCAACAAGCGGACCAGGAAGCCAAGGTCGAACAACATCAGACATGGGTCTCGGTTTCTCAAATGCGAGACTGGATCATTCAGGTACCGTAGTCTCTTTTTTTCTTCCCGTATCTTTGGGCTCAAGCTGTGCCAGTCTCGAAAACTGATCAGATTTATCAATCATCCTCGCAGGAATACATCTCTAATCCGCTCTTGATCGACCCTACGAAACCGGAAACTTACTCTACCGATAGCTCGCTCGATCGCTCTTCTTTCCATAAACATCATCTAAGAGTTTACGTTTTGGCTGTTGGCGCCCTAAGGTCAGAAACAGTTCTAGCCCAATGTACCTTTTTTCATTTTATCTGTGCTAAATCAATTTTTTTCTTTCTTTCGTGGAATGGCACATATGATGGTGACAGCCTCTACGTCTACGAAGATATCCTTTCGCTCTTCTCATCGAAAGCCTACACGCTCGACGATCTGAACGATTTGGGGGTCCACCTGACCAACACGTGTTTACAGGAAAGTTTGTCCGGAGGAGGAGGAGGAAGAGGGTCGACGGGGGAACGGCCCCAGGTGACGGTCTCGATCGACAACCATCCGGTACAGGTGCTCGACCAGATCGACGCCATCCTCGCCAACCTCTTCGGCTTCGTCGCGCAGAACGACCCGATCAACTTTCAGCTCAACCCTAATTGCTTCGAAATCTTCGGGATCGACTTCTTGGTCGACCACAACTTGAAAGTCTGGCTCTTGGAAATCAACGCCGTTGAGTGCCCCTTTTTTTATGTAACTAAATCTGAGACAAAGTTCTCATTAGGACAAAACAAGAAGGAGACATTAGGCCTTCTATATTCTATCGTCTTATTTTATCCACATCCTCAAGGCTCGTGATTGTAACTTGATCTTGATCTTTGTTTCGTTGTAGGGACCGGATTTTGGTCAAACGGGACACGACCTGAAGCCGACTATAGAAAAACTTTTTACGAGTACGATCAATGTCCTAAAGTCTGAAATCTCTCTCCTCCGTGAACCCTCCACAACAGCAGACCACGAATCCCGGAAAGCAACAGACCCGTCGCCCCCACGTCCCGTTCCTTCTAAGACGAAAACAGACGCTTGCCACCGTTCGAACATCCCCCCTCGTCTTCGATACCCTCAGCATTTCCTCCCGTTTCGTAAAGTCTTGGAGCTCCAAACCAACGTCTCCTTTCGCTGAGAAACAAAAACCAAGCTTGTAGCGCGCCCCTCCTCTTCCTATCTTCGCTTCTGCAACACAGCCGTAGGTTTTTCAGCAATCTTGGTCTCCGAACTCCCTTACTCTTTTCGACAAATCGGAATCGAACTTACTTCCAATCAGTATGCAAATAAACCATTCAGACTTTGGGAGACAATGAGAAATGAGTATCTGTGGCAGGAGATCAGCAGCCGGTTTTTATCCCAAAACCACTAGATATCCAGGCACCTGATACCGGAAGTATAGAGATGTCAAATTGAACTGTTGGTCATGATATCCTTAATGAGACCCGGCGTGGATCAACTCCTCCAACAGATATGCAGACTTATGAGGCCAGCAAGGCTTCCATGCAGACTGACACTGTAGCGTATCTCCATATAGAAGATTGTGCGTGTTGGGTAACCCTCCTCGTGTTCCAAAATCTGAGGAAATACGAATGGGTGACATTGTGAGCGGGCGCATGCCCACACTGTTTGTTCCTTTGTGGCTCGATTGACATGGATGTGATTATGTTTGGTATGTTTGGGTGAATGGAACATTAACCTATGGATCTATCAATCTGCAAATGTGCACGATGTAGACCACGCGTGATAGGGACTAATCTGGTCTCTTGGACGTGCGAGTAGACGGGAGGAATTATTTAATTTGGTCGCAGTGCATTGCCTATTGTAAACATTGATTATGAATAGTTAAAAGATAAAAAATACAACAGTTATTTAGTGGACACATTTTTTTTTGATGGGATACAGATATGGGAAAATGTTTGAGTGTTGGATAGGGTTCACAATCGAACAGGAGTTGTGTTTTTTTTTATTCAAGAAGGAGGGAGGTCAATAGAGATCAGGTCCATAAAAACAATATGAGGAAAGGAAAGGGAGGAAAAAAAAAGAACAGGGCAAATTAAGTTTCTGAAGTCCCATCCAATAAGTATCAAAAAATGAAATAATAATAAAACGCGAAATTGCTCAAGTAAAGAATTAGGAGAAAAAAAAGCGAGATAAATGGAGCAGAAGAGGTTAAGAGGAGATCAAAAAAAAGAAGACTAACCTCTAGTTTTGACGGAGTAGACAAAGTTAGAGAGCACATGATCTTCGATGAGTCGGATATGATCTGAAGGCGGATGAGGATGAAGGATAGAGGGCAGATGATTGAGATGGATGTTGAAGAGGAATCCATGATGATCGAGGGTTGTAGCCGGTTTGAGGATAGATTTTCTCTTGAGGGTAGGACGAATGGGGCCGTCGAGATCATGAGCGAAGAGGAGATCGTGTTGGTCTGGTTGAGGAGGACGGGGAGCCTGAGGTCTTGGGGCGGCGGTGGAGGGGGAGGAGGTGGGGGAGGAGGGACGCGGTCTGGGATGGATGGAGGCGGGGGCCTCGGATGGGCTGACGAGGAGGCTGGGGAAGCTCTGGTGGTGGTGGCTCAGGACGAGCTGAGTGAGGGTCTCGTCGAAGGAGTACAGACTGTCGCGGGGATCGCGACTCTCGGCCAGCTTGGCTTGCTTCTTCCGGGCCGGCTCGCCATGCTCTTCGTCTTCCAGGAAGGCCGCCGGGCCGAACAGCTTGCGGTAAAAGGAGGAGGAGGAGGAGGAGGATCGGGCTAGGCCAGGACTCGATGAGCCCGACGAGTCTCCGCCGCTGGAGAGGGCCGACGTAGAGGGGGAGATCGAGGAGGACTGGGGGTCTATCTTAGCTCCTCTCTGCTCCTTGTAGCTCCCTGCTCGTTCCTCTGGGGTCTCGGGCGGTTGGGCGGTGTGATTAGGATCATAAGTGGATGAGACCAGTAAGGCGAACTGATTATAATCCTCGATTAGCTGCTTCTTAGTGGATCCAAGGGGTGAAGAAGTGGATGGGGGTGCTTGTCTTGCTGCTGCTGATGATGATTCAGGGGTCGATCGAAGGGGCGAGTTCAAGAGACAGTGGCGGTCTAGATATTTGATTAGAGAGCTTGCCGGTAATGATTTGATGAACTCTGAGGGGGGTGGTCCTACCCCTTGTTCTAGGGTCTCGTGTTCCTGGTGGTGGTTATGATCTTCTGGATGGGCTAGCTGTGGTGCGGTCAATTTGTTCTTGTTCGAATTCCGGCGACGTTTCCGACGATCCATCATGATGATCCTGAAGGAAGTTGTTCTGTTGTTAGTTCTCCTCTGATCGACTGAGAGCCAGATATGTAAGTGGGATGGTGGTTAAGGTGAGACTGGACATACCCTGAAGTTCGGTTGTGGTTCTTTCGTGTTGTGGTACTCGGCCGACCTTTGTTGCTGCTCAGCGTCTCAGCCTTGAAGGTATAAAGGTGTGAACCTGACGATAAGGAACACGCCACGTGAGCACAGGTACGCTACGGGTATTCGACTCCAAACTCGGTGAAGAGAGAGAGAGGAGCCGGTACCCGGCGCATACAACAGCTAGACTAAATACATGATGTTTCGCCGCAGCAACTCGTTTAGGTTTAAGATGATGATAGATAAGGTTGAAACACATGTAAGTCTATCCTGCGTTAAGTTTGTGATCTTGTAACTCTGCGCTAACTCTAACAGAAGGGATTGATGAAACTCCACCAAAATCCATCTTGCATATCACAGCACTCCACCCACAACTCATCAACTCATCCACTAACCTGATGACAACTTGACTTTCTCTCCCTGCATTGCGACAGAGGCCAACTGAAGAAACAGAGGAATGTCTCATCTTTATACCATTCCCAAGAAGTTTTCTTGCTTTCCATGGCCCCTTTGTCCTCTGCAGGGGGGGCTGTAATCACTCAGAAGGGGGTACACCACGGGTTGAGTTTGAGAAATGGCACTCCGTCGGCTTGACCCCGCGGTCAAGCACTGGTCGGGCTTAACCCCTTTTACGCAATCCCGCCGGATTGGTCTGTCCAACGTCAAATTTGGGCAGGAATTCCGCAATTCCAACGTTGGCTTGACCTCAGGGTCAAAAAGTCCCACCGTCGGCTTTACCCCTTGTCTGAAAATGAAGAAAAAAACTTCTTTTTTTTTTACTTTTTTTCTACACCCTTTTCATGCCCAAAAAGCTGTGGCCACCTCAGAAAAAAAAAAAAAAAAAAAAAAAAAAAAAAACTTGGAGAGAAAAGAAACATAAGACAAAAAAAATCTAGAGATTTGCAAGTTTATATTGATAGATATGCAAAACCAAGCAGAGCTGATATAGTATGAATGCCACAGTTGGATAAGCCCTCCTGTCTCATCACGACCAGCTCAGGATGAGATGAAGCTGTTGTGAGTTGAGGTTGGGGGTTCAAGCCCCGAGCTGCTTTTTTGTTGCACTGCACTCGGCTGCTGCGTAGCCACTGTCAACAGCTGTCAAGCCGCCGCAAACCAGCCCTGCAACCGCGGGCAAGCCAACGTTGCAGGGTCAAGCCGACCGCGGGGATTTACGCCCCCCGCTATGAAGCACCCCCAATCTTTCGTCGGGGCGGTACGGGTCAAGCCAACGGAACTCTTTCTGTCGAGCATCCGTCCACCAGAGCCTGTGGTGTAGATGATGGGTAGCAGACTGAACTTGACCTGATGTCACCTGTCATCAGCTAGTGATCATTCATTTTTCCTGGTGTTATTGAAAGTCTGTTACTCCGCCAAGGTTCTGATACATTTTTAGTTACTTTCATGAGCAAATTCACCTGTTGTGTGACATTCATTGGCAAGATTTTTAGCCCTGATCAGCAAATTATTGATGCTTAAAAACATATCATTATTGAATGTGCAGTCCACAGCCCCCCAGCTTATTCCAGGTTCATCCTGATTAAAAAGTTTTGCTATCACCAATTTGTTACAAGGTGATCAGCCATTAGCGGGATTCACAATAGCGTTTTTTGCTTCTCACACCCGTTATTTTTTTTTCTTGCTTGCACACAGCTGACGTTAATTTTCTCAGCAAAAATTCAAAATTCTGCAATAAATTTTATGTCTGCAGCGGTGCTGCAGTTTCTTTCGAGAACCGAACCAAGAGAGCTTCGTGCGAGAAGCTATCGTAAACCCGGTATTGTGAACCAGGCTATTATTAATGGCTGACATAATTTGGAACAACAACTTACAGGGTTTAGATCTTCAAGCTATGCACTCCACATTTTGATCACTTATTTACAGTCTAACAAGGTCATGCAAAGAGCATCTACAGTTGGGAATTTCTAGTCAAAACAGAAAGGGACTGCTTATTCAACAATGTCTTTGAAAGAAAGTTAAAGAGAGCATGACTTGGTTGGGGGAAAAAAGCACGTTTCTTGCGTACAAGGAAGGAGAGTGAAGTAACGATAGTGTCATGTTGATGGCCCCTGTGGTGATGAAAGATGCTACAATTAGAGAGGAAAGGGGTTCATGCAAGTTTGGGAAAGAGCTATAGTAAAAACTAATTGTCCAGGCTTGCAAACTTCAAGATCAAGAATTCAAAAAGGCGATCCTTCAGTTGAGAACAAAAATAAATTTATGAGATTGTTCAGTTGAAATTGTTGAGGACTCACAATGGCTACATAAAAGCTTGAACAGGCCCCAAAACATAAGCTCAATCGCCCTGCGCCAAGAGTGGTGTCCAATCTGGCTCGGTCCAGTCCCAGTAGAGACATCCATCGCACCCTGTTTCATTGATGGCATGAAAAAAAAAAAGTTTAACATTTCCCTAAATGGATCACGTCAAGACATTAAACTCACAAGGCCTGACACTGTTCACATTGTTTTTATCTAGCCACCGACAAACGTAAACGTTTTTGGAGGGTCCCTTAACGACTAGGGTAAGGGTATGGTTTTTTTATTAGCCTCTGGAAAAAGGCCTGCGACAGATCATAGATCATCAAATCCTACCCGAGACTCCATGTAGATTGTGGGCCATAAAACTGTCGACCTCAGCCGTATTCACAATGAGATGATCCTTTGAGGAATACAATTCACAATTTTGGAAGGCGTATCGACTTACTGAGAAGGTTGAGAATAAATGCCGAGCAAACATAAATATGATTTGTTGGTTTGCGTCTATGATGCTTCGGTGGTCTCACTCAAAAAGTAAAGATTGTGACTTACATGGCGCCGTTAATGGAGTATCTTTGGGCGATCCAATGTGGCATTTATCCGTAGGGCAGTAGAAACTCAGCCCCGCGAAGCTCCTGCAAGCTGTCAAGGGATAAGATAGGTATCTGTTAAGAGTCCAACTGAAAAAAAAAAAAAAAAAGACTCGAGGTTCGCTGGAAAGGATGACTTACAGAGCCAGCCTGGCTGCCCTTCTGGGTTATTTGAACCGAAGCTGTCTCCACACTGAATAGTTCCATTGACTGCGTCACCGTTTTTTGGTGGAGCGGCAGGTGCCGGCGGCTTGGGTTGCCTTCGAGCCAGAGTATGTAGCGGGGGTTCGGTAGGCTCAACGGAGCCTGAAATGACAAGAGAGGCAAGGTATGTTCCCCAAAGAAATTGCTCGAGCAACATCGATCCTGTTATGTATGAAGTTAGGTTTGGTGAGGGACAACTTGAATGAACTGCTTAAAAGTGCGAACTTGGACAGGAGTCTGGGATGGCACATTACCAACCTTGCCCCAAACGCTGATAACTTCGATGTGCCGCCACACCTTTCCTCACTCTCCAACGGTTTCTAACAATCTCACATACTGATCGTTAATTAGCTGTACATGGTGGCGCTCGTCGCGTCGCCCCTGTTTAAGAACCTGGCACATTCACGATAGCCCGAGCGTCGCGGAGGGTCTCCATGGAATCTGGATGATCTTCCCGCCACTTCCATAAGGGGTTTGCCCAATGGCGCACCGGAGTCCCATTCTAGATTCCTCTGTTTTATATGAAATTTTGGATCAGGAAGGATCTAGGGTATCTAGGGCGGTTCACGATAAATAGCATATTTCGGTAGCTACAACAATCCACTGAAGTCTAATTTTTGGCGAACTTAACCAAGTCCCCTCCTGCCCCCCCCCCCCTCCGAAGGGTCACACTGGCCGCAATGGTTGGATTTTTAGTGCTGGAGATGGCAAACAGAGGAATGAGAGTGTCTGACAAGGCTAACAGGCAGGCAGAGGACTCAGGAGACCAAAAATCCAATTTTATGCAAGAATTCATACAATTCTACAAGCCATTTGTGGTCATTCATGTATTTTTGGTGTGTGTTTTTATGGATTTTATGGCCAGAAATTCATACGTTTTGGTTGGGCATGCACATATATAGGGGGTTACCTGGGTCCTGCAAGCAATCATCCTAGTGCTGCACACTCCTTACAAGAGGGCCAGTGGGAAGGACTTACAAAGTCCTGCTGGGAGTCAAGCAATGGCCACAACCAGTAAATACTCCAGGCTGCATCATTCTAGATAAACAAGTCAGTGCTTCAAATCCAGTACTCTAGCTTCATCTTCTTGAAGATAATATAAAAAAAAAACACAAGCCAGGTCCCTCTTCTGTGATTCCTCTCCCTCTCCAAAACCAACACTTTGCAGCCAGTGTGACTGAAAGGAAATCATCATTGGATTGGGATAACTCAATCTGGAGTTTTACCAGGGACCTCAAGATACACTTGAGCTACTTGTTGCAAACCAAACAACCCCTTAACACCAACAGACTGAGTTACATCATATAATAAATCTGATTCGATTCAAAAGGTTGGACAAGGTATCCATGGTAATTACTTGAAATAACCCAAATTGTGGGCTTCTGATTCAAGCTGTTTGTTGCAGGGTAGCAATAGTAATTCCAACTTCAAGGCAAAATATTGGGTCTGATATATGGATTGAATTGAAATTGTGTCTGGCACAATCCAACCTGGATATTTTGAATTGTACCAAGGGCCCAGTACAAATTGATTGCTCCAGCCCCACTCAATGAGTCAAACTTTTTTTGGTGGCTATCCTTCAAAATCCATGGTGTTTTCAATTTATCAGAAAAAAACATGTGAATGTTTGCCTCTTTCTCAAAGCTCTTTGTTTTTTTGAAAAGCACAATATCCCATGAAAGCAGAATAAAAAATATTGCCCCGCGTGGCATTGGACTTGATAAACTGGTTGGAGTTGTTGTCACACTGAAGAGTGATTAACCAGGATTATCCAGCTAGAGCTCATTAGCATGCCTCTCAGGTTGAGGGCAAATGTTCCATTTATGTTGCCGAGATTCCCATTGACAGGTACTGGTCTCCCAGCTATGGCTACAAGTGCGACAATAATGGTTTGACTTGATCACCCGATTTCCACACTTTTGATCATCATGTTTGAATCCAAGCACACAGAAGAATGGTTCCAAACAGTAGCAAATTCTGTCTGATGAGTCGATGTCCTGGCTGTAACAATCTGGATCTGCACAATCCAACCCAGAAGTTCCTTGTTGAACCAGAGCCACCCCCAAGAGCACTGCCCGCACCCAGGCTTTTGCTGGGTACTGCAAGGGAAATGACTTCGGAAGGAATTGAACCATGGATCTTACTGGTTGATGGTAGCTTGTTGAGTGGTCTTTAGCAGGCTGATTGGCAGCAGAAGAGAAGTAGGCAGAGACTACAAATAGACTAATGTTCCAGGGTGATAGTGAAGCTGATCAACACCCTTTATTACTTGGATTGAGTCCATTCACTCACACATCCATCTTACAAATCCAAGCTCATTAACCACCCTAATTATTGGAACCAGAACCAGAATCAAGCTAGCACACCACTCACAAAGTGGAGCAGACTAAATCACTGGTATTCTCAGCCACAATGGGTCCACCATGAAGAAGCTGACTCAATTTCAAATACTCTCATAAAAAATTGGTATTGAGAGTACTAATAATTAAATGATCTTGGAAGAGGTAATGGCTTAGTGTGCACCTGTGGATCACAGACATTTAGCCACTGATTTTTTTGGATACAATCTGAAAAAATTCAGATCCACTTTTAGGGCAGTTTAATTTCTGTAGGAATAGCACTGCAAGCTTTGTCTAATTTCCATGTGGAAAAATTCTTGCAAACCACGTGAAGAAAACCAAGTTTTTTGTCTGAAACTCATGGTGGTACAACCAGTGCATGCACTTATTAAGTGGCTGTGATCAACACTGAAACAAAGACAAGACATGTATTTTTATTGTCTTGTATTGTCTTTATTTTGAGCCTGATACCTGGTATTTGTATTTCCTTGGTTGGTGAGAAAATCCCCCGTCTTGGATTCAGATTTACAAATGCAAAAAAATGTCTTTTTTTGTTAAATACGGCCAAATGTCATGTGTATCAAAGACAATTTGGGTGGGATCATCCCTCTGGGACAATACAGAATACGTGTCTCACTTTCCAAAGACAATACATGTGTATTGTCTCAGCAAAGTGAGACAACACAAATACAGTATTTTTGGGTATTCGAATTCTGAGACAATACAAATAAACACCTGATACCGTCTTGTCTCGCCTCTGTTTCAGCATTGCTGTGAAATACTCAACCACAGCTGTTGGGATTTGGAATGAGCCCAGTGCATTTTGTGCTAGGCTCAGGCAGATTCACCCCAGCTCTGCAATGTGCAGTGTGTGCAGTACTTCCCCCTTCCAGTGCCCTTTCCCACCCCATACTCCACCAAAGAATGGAAACTCCTGGACTTTCCTGAAAGAATTCAAAAGTATATGAGTTTTTATTTCATTAGACAAAGGTATAAAATTGGTATAATATCAAGACAATGAACCAAACTAGGAGCAGGTGTGAAGTAATAAGAGAATATATAAGAAGAGATTGAAATGGAGAGAAGAAGAAAAAATAAGCTTGTTCCTGATTTCCCTTTTTAATCCAATAGAGTAAGAAAGACACAATGAGATGAATTAGCTCTTGTGTCTTCTTGTCTCTCTTCTCAAGCAGTGTGTATTTGATAAGGTGAGACCTTATCTCAGGTTCCTATCTGCATTTATCTAATGCGGTTGAGGAGAGCGTTGCCTTGTTCTATTTGCATTATAGAGCGGCTATGGCCAGCTTCTCTTGCATGCTTAACTGGTCTGTTCCAAGTGTTAAGAATTGCCTTTGGATTTTCCTGATGGATGGCCTTTGGCTATTCTTTTGCCGCCTATCTTGTTGATGTCAACTAAGAACAATGCTGAAATGTTGGGCTGATGATCTCAAGAGGCAGAGGGCCAAGAAGAAACATTTATTTTTGGGAAAGGTTCACGTAAAAAAAGAATGAAAGAACCAATGTTTTTTACTCACTAATAACTAGCCGGGTTTAAATAGACTAATTACAAGAGCCAAAAAGTGGTTGAGTTAAAATTGAATAAACAGAGGATATTGAATAAAAACTAAGAGAGAGAATTATTTGAGTTCTTGGAAGAAAAAATCTTGGCAGGACTTCTCAGTCTCTTTTAGTCAGGCAAGAAAAGTTAATAGGGGGTTTCACAGTTGAGTGCAAGTGACTTGCAAAACATTTTGCAAGTCACTCTCATGCATGGGGATTTTCAAAAATGGCTTTCTACTAGCCACATCTAACCTTATAATGAGTAATGAAAGTTGAACATGCATGCTTTGTTGTGCAGATTTAATTTAAAGGCCTTTTGCAAGGCATTTGCACTCAACTCTGAATCCCACTAATCACGAAAAAAAAGGAATTCTAACACAGATATTCAGAGGCATTAATTGTAAATAATGAGTTTTTAAGAATCAAATAGTGAAATATAAAAGGAAAGGAATCAATCATAAAGACAGGAGTTGTTGATAGAATTGCTATTGATTGTTCTAATTAGACTACAAAAGCGCATAAGATTCAACACAAAACCAGCAGTGAAAGACTACAATTCAGTCTAAATCAAGATGATTCAAGAAAGAAAAAAGAGGGAAAGAAAAAGGAAAGAGGGGGTGAATTTAGGGAGGAGTAGACAAAGAACAGTGAAAACTCAACAAACAAAAAATAAAGCTTTAGTAAACTTTTCTTTTATTTATTCCTATTTGGAGAAGAACAGTTAAGCTTACCAGTAGAGTTACTTTCTGTTCTTCTCCTTTTAGTTTTCTGGATTTTTGTCTTCCAATTCGCTGTTTTCGTTTCTGTAATCATCAAAGATGAAATTCAGTTTATGACACAGGAAAAAGGGCAGCAAAATATTGTATGCATATGCTTACAGCTTTCCACAGCTGTTTCAGGTGACAGCTTCCTAGCCACTTTGTGGTTTGGCACTTGGTCCTCTGCACCAAGGTGTGTATTGGTCACCCAGCTTCATTACTGGACAGTACACTAAAGAATTTCAAAATGGATCCAAGTACCGGTTGCACTGCCAGTACCCACATGTTTTTTTTTTCAAAATCAGGCACCTGGCACCGCCTGACTGGTACCACAGGTCTTTCAGGTGAGTACCAGTGGTTAAAGATGGTCGCGGATAATCTGTTGGTAGGTGCGGATGTCCTTTCCCCCCAAAATCCTGGCAGATATCCGGGTATCCCAGGGGAT